CACTTTTATGTAATATTCTAAATGTTCTTTTTGGAGATTGTCATTCAATATTTATATCTGGGAGTGGCACCTACCTCTCTCCTGAGATTATTAGTGTCTGATAATAAGTTCAGTTCCACAAATTTCTACCATGAGAAAATCAGGATGTTCCAAAGAGAACTAAGCTCAGCAAGAGCAAGACAGACATTTTTAGTGAGTTCATATAAATAAGAAGAAACATTTTCTGCATCTGATTTGATGAGAGAACATTTCATGCCATGTTAAACACTGAAAAGTGTTCAATGAAGGACACACCAGGTTTGTGTCTTCAACCTTACATTGTTACCAGCAGCTGGAGAAAAATGTGTCATAGCAGGACAAAAAAAATCCTTTTCAAATACATTATCATCAGACTATTATGATCATTTGGAAAATTGTTTCAGAATCGTTGGAATGATGGTGAAAGCCTGACAGTAAATGTAAGAATGTCACTCTTCCCAGACACATTAATCCCCAAGGAGCAGCATTGTCAGGACATTTTCTGGTTGGGGTTGTTGTCTTCCATAGCTGCTCTGGCACATGACAGCCAGTTTCAGATACACATAAATAAATCACATTACTGTGACATACATTATTAATGATACCACAGTAATATGCTTGTCACAAAAATGGCAGAATTGCCCCACATGGTTCACACATAAATAAATCACATGATTGTGACATACATTATTAATGATACCACAGTATCATTAGCTTGTCACAAAAATGGCAGAATTGCCCCAAACTGGCATATTCCAACTGCTTATTCTCATCCTGCTACAGCATTAATGAGATCCTGTCTCTATCTGAAATAATGATGTGAAAAAGGTTTTAAAAATCATCATACAGACCTTCAAGCTGAACAACTCAAGTTGTTGGGTGGAACAAACATTCAGCTGGCATCCCCAGCAGGTATAAAGTTTCAGAAAGAGAATTTGATTACTCCCCAAAGACGTCCTTCTGCCTCACATTCTGTTTGCAGATAACCTGTCACCCAAACTCTTCTGTTCCCATTCATCTTCCCTGCAGTTGTAACACCACTTTGCAGTGTCCATGGCATGGCATCTTCTGCAGCAGCACCTCAGCATATTTTACAGTTGTTAGGCAATTTAACTTTGCAAAAGTGAATTCTTGAGAAGTGCAGAATCTTCCAAAGACTTCATTTTGCCAAGGGGGAAACTGAGCAGCAAACAGGTTAAAAATAGCTTTTTTACCATAAAGTTGATCATCTATGTCCTTGACATCAAGAATAAACAAAATGTAGAAAATTAGATTAATTTCTTATGATTTCATACTGCTCTCACAAAGGAACGAAGGGAAACAGCCCTTTATCATAAAATTTTATCACAAAACTGTTTATTGGCAATTTTGGATGCCCCATCTCTGGAAGTGCTCAAGGCCAATTTGGATGGGGCTTGAAGTAACCTGGTCTAGTGGAGGGTGTCCCTGCCCACAGCAGGGGGGTTGGAACTGGTTGATCTTTAAGGTCTCTTCCAACCCAAACCATTCTATGACTCTATGAACTATACCTTTGTACAATCTTCAATTCCTATTTTACTCTGCAATAGCTTTGGTTTAGAAGTAATAAGTCATGTAATCCAACAAAGGATGTTCAGAGAAAAACATGCAATATGTGATTAAGAATGTTTTGATGCTGTAGAGCTAGGCTTGCTCAGAAATAAATAAAATACTACTCAAGTAGTCATTTATATGTGGCTACTGTACAAAGAGCAGTTTTTCATACATGTAAAGAGAAAGGTAGCTCGGTATGTAAAGTTCCTACCCGGAGGAAGACCTCAAGTCTAAGAGGTGAGCTGAGGATTGTTTAATATTGTATAATAGATCTTTTCATGACAATAGGAGCTAAAATACCTCATAAGTCAGTTTCTCAAGGGGTTAGCATTTTCATAGGTTTAATGTTGCTGCTCTTCTAACATAAAATAATAAATTAATATAATAGCAGGAATCTTAAATGATTGACTAATTCCAGAATGATAAACACAAGATGGGGTTTAGATGCTGCTGGAAGCACGTACCTGCAGTGTGTGGCTTCTGGAGATGTAGTCTGTTTTGTGCAACCAAACCTGACACAAAGTTTCTGCTTGAATTTCATGGATGAAAATAGAACTATTTAGCTCATTCAGGTTTCCACTCCTGTGGTTTCTAAGACCAAGGGCACCCTACATGGCAGCAGGGAACACAACTCACTGCACCCGAGCTAAATGGCAACCAAGGACAGGGTCAGGGACACCACATTAATATAGCACATAATCCCATATAACCCAGGTAATTATTTGAATCAAGCACTCCACTTGTCCTTGGAGAGCTGAGCTGCCTGAATCACACGGGTGTGCTCACCTGAGGTGTTCCAACATGGTGACCCGGCACTTCGGAGACACGCATGGAGCTTCTTTCTCAAGAGATCCCAGTTGTATTAATCTCCATCAGGGATCACTCTTCGGCCTTGAGTCCAATCCTTGAGTGTTGTGTTCCCTCATACAGAACATCTTACACCAAAGAAGAAGGATGATGCACTGAAGCTGCTTCCAAAGAATGGCTCCTGGCCCAGGCTTACCTTTGGATCATGCAAGGCAATTGTCTGGGAGATGAATTGTCATGGTCCAAAACTGTGCTACTGTGCATGCTGTGCTACTGGTCTTACAGAACAGCTGGGTACACATCCCCTGCTCTGCTCTGGGCTTGCCTTGGCAATGTTCTAGTAGAGATGCAGCCATAATGAACACGGCTTTGAAGTGGATGAACCTGGGCTACATAATTTTGACTGTCAGCAGGACTCATTATTCCAGTGTTGGAGCTGGATCACATGGCTTTCTGTCAATTCAGAACAAGCCCAACTGTGCTTGCAAAATAACATGCAAATTCATCATAACCCAAAGCATTATATAATCAGATCCTCATGCTATAGGAAACAGCATGTTCCAGAAGTCCCTGGGAGTCTGTACATAGGAAACAACATGTTCCAGAACTGCCTGTGAGTTTGTGCAGGGCTGGAACAAAAGTGCAATTGTTTGTAATCCACAGAATTTTACCCAATGTACAGTTATGCATCTGGGCAAACTTATGAATCAAGAAACTGCTGCTGATCAAAATCTCTCAGATGTCAGCAGGAGTGTTTCTACAGACTAAGCTGTGAACTGTATCCCAAGTTATTGGTACTTCATGCTACTTTATCATGGACATGCCTATGAGACTGCAGTGTTTGATCAGATGTTGTATTGGGTTTGCACGGCCAAACTTTGGTAATGGGGGGCTACAGGGGCGGCTTTTGTGAGAAGCTGCCAGAAGTTTCCCAACATTCAGTGGAGCCAATGCCAGCTGGCTCCAAAATGGACGTGCTGCTGATTAAGGCTGGGCCTATTAGAAATGGTGGTAATGCCTCGGAGATAACATATTTAAGAAGAATTTTGTAAAAAGTTACTGCACAGATGTAACTGCAGCCAGAGAAGAGCAGGGTGAGAACACCTGAGAGGAACAGCCCTGCAGACACAAGGTCAGGGCACAAGGAGGGGCAGGAGGGGCTCCAGGCATTGAGCTGAGATTCCCCTGCAGCCCCTGGTGCAGACTGTGGTGAGGCAGCTGTGCCCCTGCAGCCCATGGAGATCCACAGGGATGCAGAGATCCACGTGGAGCCCATGGAGGAGCCCATGCCGGAGCAGGTGATGCCTGAGAGGAGGCTGTGAGCCCATGGGAGGCTCCTGGGGAAAGGAGCCCATGCTGGAGCAGCCTGTCCTGGAAGGGCTGCACTCCAGGGAAGAGTGACCCACACTGCAGCAGTTTGAGGGGGACTGTTGCTCATGAGATGGACTCACATTGGACAAGTTCATGGAGAATTGTCTCCCATGGGAGGGACCCCACGGTCCAGCAGAGGAACAACTCCTCTCCCTGAGCAGTGGGAGAGGCCATGGAACTGATCATGACCCCCATTCCCTGTCCCCTTGAGCCTCACTGTGGGAGGTAGTAGAGCTGGGAAGAAAGGAGGGGTGGGGGGAGGAAGGTGTTTTGAAGGTTTGTTTTACTACTCATTATCCTGCTCTGATTTTGTGAACAATAAATTCAATTAGTATCTCTAATTTAAATCTGTCTTGCCTGCGATTGTATTTGGTGAGTGACCTCTCTCAGTCCTTATCTCAACCCATGAACCCTCTGTTATATTTTCTCTCCCCTGCCCAGCTGCAGAGGAGTGTAATAGGCTTCAGTAGGTGCCAGGCACCCAGCCAGGGTCAACCCTGTGGAGTCTACTCAAATGTCTTGTGTTACAAGACCATGGCAGTATCTCGCCTGCCTTCTCTTCTGCACTGTTTCACAGCTTTATCTATGCTCCCTGCCATGGTCCCATTTATTTTCTCATACTGTGATTAACTCAGATACCTCATGCCACTGCAGTCTGTAGCTGAAAATGCTCCCTCCTGCATGGAACATTGCATCCTGGTGGTCTAGGTCTTCCAAGACTAAGCCTGACAGAAAGAACTACCATGACATCCAGGAATATGTCATTCCATGACCAGGGCAGTAGATAGAGCATGACTGAGGAACAGGCAAGAGGCTTGCAGAAATAAGGCAGCTGCCATCCACTTCCTTCTCGTGCTCTTTTCCACCCCTTAGAAGGATCAGGCCCCAGAGCTTACCTTGTCTTCCTTCTCTGGTGAGCCCCTCGGGGTGTTCCATAATCAGCACTGAACATGCTCTGCTCGTACCATCATGTGGAAGCGGTGCAATCCCAGAGAAACACTGCTCCAGTCCCATGGGAAGCATGCTACACACAAAGCGGCTCATGCATCCCACAGGACACCTCTGACCACCTGCAGACATCCTATGAAACTGGGCAGCATTTCTAAAACCTGAAAAAAACATTTCATGAAGATACGAAGAGACTTCACCACTGTCAGTGGCAAACAGTCTGAGCACCAACACTGAGAAGGAGCACTGGAAATTTTAGAAGATTGAATTCTTGCATTTCAAAATGCAATAACCAAAGTCTAACTATTAAACCAAACTCATGCCGGGGCTCCAAAAACAAGCCATCTCAGTGGACTAGTTTTGCAAGTATTTATTAGGAAATTCTGAACACCTGACTAATATTTTTCACCTCCTCAAAATTATTCCTACTAAAGGAATTTAACGGGTCTCAATAACTTCAGATCAAACTTGTTCCGTTCATAAGCAAAATGGTGATTTCTGTAACTAACTCCTTCACCCATACTCAGCTTAGGCTGTGCAAAACTACCACTGTGTGGTCAGTGCCACAGTCTCCAAAATAAGACTCAAAAGCTGCAATCTAATCAGCAATTCTGAACAAACTAGCCTGAAATCCTGACAACTCTGACCACTCAAAATAAAAAATTAAAATAAGGACATTTTGCTGAGAGACTGCAAAATGGTCCTAGTTCATCTAAACGTAGGCTTAAATTAAGATGCTTTCTTTGGTATCAGTGCAAAGTGATTTGCTGAACTGGGACCTTAAGGAAGACCAAGGTCATACTCAGCATTTTCAGGTCAGCTCACAGGACTGAAATAAATTCTGGCTTTGGATGAAGGATACAGGATTTTCAACCTTACAAGCATTGCTTTTGAGTATTCTGCATTGAAAGATGAAGCTTCAGAGGCTTTTCTGTTTAATATTATCATTGTATGTACCTCTGAAAGCAAAAGCTTTGCACATTTGATACAGCTTGCAATAGGTTTGAGTACTTGTGGAGATTTTATGCATGAATAAAATAACCTCACCATTATTTTTTTAATCAATCACAGAAGACACTGCAATTACAAATCCAAGTTTTTAACATAAGGTACCATATGTTCAAAGTATTTCACAAATAGTTTATAAAAATCCACTACAAAATCATTATGAATGAAAAGTTTTTCAGCTAAAACTTTTAAAAGGATTATAAAAAAGATGAGTGGTCCATATGCTATTCTGGAAGCAGATCCTCTCCTAGTTCTTCATCAGCAAAATCATCTTCCTCCATTCTTTTTCTTGCTGCTGTTTTTGGTCTTTCTGGTTGTGGGCCAAGTGGATCTGCGTAGGAGGCATCTAGGGTTTAAATAAATACATGTGAAACAGTTACAAACTATTTTTGCTTTAACTTTAGCTGGTTTTAAACATACAAAATCAAATACAAGATTAGGATTTAGCACTACACATCTGTGTCTTTGAAATGTAGACCAGAAAGAGCGTATGAACGCTGAAGGAGAACAAAACATTGCATCCAGGAACTGAGGCAGGGCATAAGAGCAAAGTTCCAGATTCTACCAATGGAAGCCTCTTGGGTTTTTTTAAAAATAAATTTCTCTTATTATACTGCAGTGAGAAAAAGATTTTGGATACGTGCAAGGAACAGCAAGACTGATGACTTGTTTGAGGAGTGGCTTTTTAGGAAGTACCACATTCCACATGAATTTGGGTTTTTAAACCCCTTTGAAAATTCAGTCTTATTGAAGAACCTATGACTCCAGAATGGCAAGAACTGACTTAAAGGACACAGCAGACAGATATTGAAAGCAATTAACATGGGCCACATTTCTTAATATTTACAATTACTTTATAGTGACGTCTAAACAATGAAGCAAAAGCTTCATTTGCATGGGAAAATGTTTCCTCAGTTATCTAATTTTACATACTCTTCCAATAACTTATATTTTTTCCTCTCTCCTTGTTTCTCCTCTCCCTGAGGACCATGAAATTAAAAAAGGTATAAGATGTCGACTTGCCTATTTCTTTACTGCTGCTACTTTCATAGGGTTCACTTGTTCCAGGCAGAGCTTTTAGTTTGGCACTCAGTCTTTCCCCTTTGGTACCACCACTATCTGGGGAACAGAAAAAAAAGGACAACATGCTGTTATGTTCTGTGAAACCACGATACAAGAATAACATCAATTCAGCTACTACTATCTGTCAAACTGGACTTGGATGAAACCATCTTTTCATGACAGACACAGTACTCATTTGTAGTAGTGGTCTTTAAAACACAGTGGACACTGTGTCCACACATGTGTGTGTTAACATTTTTTAAAAAATATATACAACCTTATGACTTTGGAGTAAACACATTAAAATATTTCTGCCTCAAATGCTGACATTTCAGTTGCTTATAAATTACAGTCACATTTTGGAGTTAAAATAAGCCTGATAAATATAAACACTGTCACAACGTACACTGGACATTTCCTATGTTTGTGTTCTCACTAACACACCAGTGTGATCCACCTGCTCAGTACTGTCAAGGTTAAATGCAACACTTAAGTTTGCTTTCAATTAGAAGAGCACATTTGCCATGGGGTGTCTGCGTGGCAGGCAGGCTCAGCCCATGTGTACAGAGCATGCTGGCCCTGCAGCTCGCTGTAAACACTGTGCTGGCAGCTCAGTTTGCAGCAGGGCCCCAAGGAATGTGTCGGCTCCAAGGGCTGCCTCCTGCCCGGACAACAGCAGATTAACATTCCCCTGCCACAGCAGTATTCCAGACACTTTAAATATTCTGTTCACCTCTGAATCTCTTTTTCACATTCATGACAAGCTTTCAATCTCATCGGCTACAACAAATTTTTATGCAATATTTTTTCTCCTGGGAGAAAACATTTTGACTTTGACTTGGTATATTTACAAGGCAGGATGTGCAGCCAAATAGAGACATATTCATTTACAACACCAAACAATGTGAGTATTAAAAGTCTTCCATCATAAGGAGGAAAAATGGGTTTCACTCAGCAAACATTAATTGCAAAGTCTGGACTTGGCAACGTATTTCCATTGTCTTATTTACTACAAATGTTATTTTAATAGATATTGTTATGATTAAAAGAAAAAGAAACCCAACTCCCCCCCAAACAACTACAAAGATGACAAACATTTATCTTTCTATAAATACCACCACAGACTTCCGTTTGCTCAACCCTAAACTGGAAGATGTCTCTGCTCCAAGAAAGATCTAATATATGCAGTCATATGTCAAACAGTTAATAAGTTCACAAGACACATATTACAGTTGAAATTTCAAAGCAAGGAATACATATTTTAATGTACATCCACTTCCCTTGGATGAATTCTCACTGACAGGTTTCATGAAAGAAGTAATATTTAAAGAATTTGAAGAAATGGGGGGAAAAAGTGGGTTTTCCTGAAGAGAAACTCAACTAAAGGGCTGTGAAATTCCAAAAGGGCCTCCCCTTGATTTGAGTGGGCTCTGCACAGGCCTGTGCAACAAGGAGATGAGAGCTGGCCTTCAGAGATGAGGTGGATGAAAATGTTTTGAGGGAAATACAAATAATCAATGAGAAAAAAAGTAGGATAGAAGTTAAGCACAGTCTTGCATAATAGAAAACAAGTAATTTTTAAGATGATAAATAAAGTTGTAGGGAGCAGTAAAGAGGTGCAAAGACAGGAACAATACAGCAGACTACACTAGGGGAAGACTGAACTGGTTGAAGAAACTCCATAGGTTTAATTGGTTAGTCCCAGAAAGGAAGACCTGCATGTAATGAAAATAAAAGAGGAGGAAAATGGCACAACAAATGTTTTTGAAGGAGGAAACACATGGGTGCTAGTATGCTACCAGAGGAAGGTGAAAGACTTTATATTAAGTGAAAGAAGGAAGAAAAAGAGAGTAGACAAACCAAACTGGGTGGGATTAACAGAATACCCACTAGTTACCTGCACACCTTACTGCCCCAAAAAATACAATTGAACACAGAGGCTTCTTCAGATGTTCTAGGATCCTTAAGTTTTACTAGGTACATTTAAAAGTAACCTAATGAAAAGCTTTTCTCAGGTAGATCAGCAACGTAACACTGTTCACCTTATTTCTGTATGAGCATTATATCCAGCAAGAGTGAAGGGAAACAACTCTTCTGGTTCACATTTAGTTTAAATTAGGCTAATATGCAAAACCACATCAAGTCTCTGTGGACTGCAGTATGCTCTGAGCATACCTGAAAATGAGGAAGAGGAGCACCTTTTATTTTAAAGTGCATGCAGAAGAAAGTAAGAGGTGCTTGACACCATCTGCACTACACGGAGATGTCAGACAGCAGCTCAGAAGTGAGATGCCTGGCTCAATGCTTTCTTTCACCTGAGGGAGTTCAAACCCACAGCTCCAGCTTTCACATGGAATGTTCTAGCTGTTGAGCCATTTGGGGTAAGCTTTTCTTGACACTCTTGCCATGGGATACAGGATTTGGCTGCCAATATGGCAGCTATTAAAAATTTTGTTGACCATATAAAAAGATCTGCCAGCAGCCTAAATCACATCTCAAAATTTTTGTAGTTCTATTTGCAGAATCATCTACATGTTTTTATTCAGTATACATTCACACATAATTTGTCAATGTTAAGGAATATAAGCTTGCAATATAGACTTCAGGATTCTGGTATCCTACAGTGAAGAGAACTTCAGGGAAGGAGTTGTTTTTAAAGCATATTTTCACAGACATGCATACTTTTGGGAGGCAAGTTTTACAATTTCTACTCATCATTCCCTGCTGCTCTCATCCCATCTAGAAAAAAGATTTTATATAAATTTATACACATTTTGAATTATGGGAATGAAACTAACTTTCACTAAAGTAATACACAGAAGAAAACAAAGTTAAGAGTGTGACTCTGGATGAAAAGCTTTATTTGTAGTTTTTCTCTACTAAGAGCACAGCATTGAGTGTTAACATCTGTCTGATTGCACCTACAATCAGAGGACTACAGGTAGATATTTCTGAAACTGCAAATTAATTTTCTCTCTATTACTGTATTAACTGTACAAACACCTGCACCTAATTCAAAGTAGCTTTTGACTAACAGAAGACCACTGCTGAACTAAATCACTTTCTGTATCTAAGGAAACCTTCACTGCAATCAATACTCAGTCCTTATTTATTAACTTATTGGGCTTTTATTAATAAGTTATTACTGCAGTTCATGCAGAGGCCATCCCCACTGTACTCATTTTGGGGTGACAATGTAGACACCTACACATGAGCTGACTGCAGGAACACAGCTCTAGAGTTCAGCTGAAAAAGCAATGGGAACTGATTAAGCAAAGCTAGTAAATATATTTAAAATCTGATTTATAATTACATTTACTCTGTAAAATCGTTATACTTGAGATTTGGATTATCATGCTGACATTACCTTCCCCTCCCAGTCTGTGTTAAACAGCCTTAACTGAGGACTATGAATACAAAGACATAAATAATACACTCTGCATGCTGATATCTTTTACAGTGCATTCCTTCCTCTCATCTGTTTAAAAGTCATGGTCCTATTACTATATTTAGGATGTTTAAATTATTCTAGAGGAATTGTTTCATTCATTTGGATTTGTTCAGAGTTTTACAAAACCTGATTTGAACAAATTCCTTCACATAGAATTTAGATGGCAAAAAAAAGAATTAAAATGTAAAACCTAATTTTAAAAAATAACCAATTTTATATGGCAAAACAATGAAAAATACAACATACTGCAAAAATAATCCTATTTTGTAATTGTCCTATTTCAAGTAGTGATACCTAGCAAAAAAGATTCTCAATCTTTTTATGGTTCTGTTCTTCCTGTGTCACATGATACCTGTGTGTACTTCAAACCAAAAAATCAATTGTGTTGGTATTTATTTTTTAGAGGAATCTAACTAGTTGTAACTACAGTGATGACACTATTGCAGTGGAAATTCCTCCAGTACCACGAAGGACAAAAATTAGAATTTTTAGTACTATTTTAGTTTTTTTTTTAGTCTTTTATTTAGTCTTTTCATCAGGAAAAGACATCAAAGAGTAAGATTGTTTGGTAATCTACCTCCTCTGTAAAATGTTTATGTAACAAAGAGCACAGTGGGCTAATTCTCTACTAAATCCAGAATGTGTTTTAAGTGCAGCTCTGTGTATCTTTCATATTTGGGATGAAGACACCATCTTTGGAGAAGAATGGACATTGGTTTGACCAAAGAGAAGAGTAAGTTCAGTGCAGAAGGGAGAAAAATATATTAAAACTGTGAAACAGCATGGGAAGTAGATGGAATTTATAGCTTCACTGCTGTTCATTTTGATTTGAAATTCTGCTGAATGAAAATTGTTTGTGGTGTGTCAGTTCAACTAACTCCTTAGGTGAGTTCAGAGCAGAAAACAGATTAATGTGTTCTTTTCATTTCAACAGATTTTCCCTTCTCCATTAATTAAGAAAATTTTCTTCTATTCTTCACACACAGCCAATGGAACCAAACCAAAATGACTTGTAATTAATGAGGCATCAACAGGCACACAAAGCCTAGCAAATATAAATGATTGTCATGTCCTGGCTGAAGGGTAACAAGAAAATCTCATCTTTATCACAATCAGGATTATGTGGGATGCCTACAGCTCTAACGTCTAAAACATACTTCCATAATGTATAAGGAGATCCCACTGGGATGATAAATGGTGTTTGAATATGGGAAATCTTTGGGGATAGACAAACTGACACAGTCACCAGTGAAATGAAAAAGGGAAAAGACACCTAAATTATTCCCATGTGGTTTATTTTCCAAATCCATCCTGACAGGCCTAGGTAACAAGGAGAATGCAAAGTACTCAGCCTTTCATCTTCTGAATTCAACACTGCTTCTTTGGGCTCCTGTCCGAGACTGCACGGCTCCTCTCATCCAGCACAAAAGTCCCCATTCAGAGAGCTGGGCAAATGCAGAGAGCAAGTAAACACTGCCACGGGAATGGATTCCTTAATGTCATACTTTGCATTATCTACACTTATAAAGGCATTATGCTATCAAACAGGAAAAATCCCTTATGGTGGTAAAAACTACAGTGCACCAACTGCTAAGTTCTGGATATTACAATCATGTATCTGAAAAACACCAAAAAAGTGAGTAGGAAAACAAGAAAATATTACTGGAAAGAAAAAATTTGAGTACTGCCTAAACTCAGATGTTACTGTTAGCTCCCTTCAAGGTTTCATGGTATTGTGGTTTTGGTGTTGTTTTTTTTCTCCTTTTTAAAATTAAAAATAATAATTTTAACAGGACTGTATCAATGTAATTTGCTTCCAACATAATCCAAGTAAAATTGAAAACTTTAAATCTGATAGTTGTGGGAAGAAGAAAATTTCCCTTTTTATAGTGAGTGACAAATGTGTTCAGTTTTGGGTAGGGATTTTAGATTTAATGCTTATCTCTCTCTCAAGACAAGAGCAGATTTTAACTGACATTGACACAGATGTCAGTTTTCTTGATCTCTCTGTTTCCATTTTATCATTCATGCACACACCAATTATATTGCTGAAACTGTGATGTGGTGCATCTCACACACCTTTCTGTTTTTATATTGGCAAAGTACTGGATGCCCTATGAAGTACAAACCTTGCTGGCTTAGTTATTTTTCTTCTTAGCTTCCTCTTTAAAAGCAATTTTAGATCATATTTCCTAAAGCAAGGAAACCTGAATTATTAATACTCTTAATATAAATAACTATATGGGGACAAAAATACTTGGAGGAAAGAAATCTCACAGGAATGCTAACAAGTACAGGGACAGTGAGCTGGTAAGAGGAAAGAAAGAAAACAGGCATCATACCTAAAATACCTGGAATGCATAAGACTTCAGTTAGCTAGTAAGTACTTGAATTTAGCTAGTAAGTACTACACTAAGGAGGAGAACATGCTTTGCTGGGTTTAATAATGATGGCAAATCTCTCCTACAGTGTAGGAAAATGACTCCTTTTGGTCTTGGCAACACCAACGGAAAAGACTAACCTTAAAATGTATACAAATATTTCTTTTTTCCCCCTCTCCTTTTGAAGTCATTAATTTATCAAAAGCATACTAACATTATGAAATAAAATAACCCATGTTTGTGTTTCATATGTATCTTCACACAGGCCATGCACAGAAATTTATAAAACTGCAAATTACAGCTCATAACCCAGGTGAACAAAGCCAAGCTTTGGACAAAAAAAAAATGTTTGGGTGTTCAGGTTTCTATTAGTCATCCTCAGCACAATGTGGACAAAATACAACACAGCCCTTAACATCTGGTGCTGTGAGTGTCCAGGTTCTTCACTGATAAGGCTCCCCAGAGCCAACAGCACCAGGTAAAATGTGCCCAGTGCCTTTGACTCATTCTAAAAATACATGTAAGTAGTACAGCTCACAACTTTTAATTAAGAATCGCAGCAGGAAGTTAACTCTAGGCTCAGTACAGGACCTTCTTTGTACCTTTGCTTATTTGCCAAGTCATTTCCAGAAAGGCTGGATCTCTGGCACTGAATTTGTATAATGAAGACTTCTCAAACATGCTCTTACACAGACTTGTTCCCAAACTACGTTTTTTTTCCAGTCTTTCATATATTTGACATACTATCTTAACAATCTAAGAATTACTGATAGGGCAAATTCTAGGTCAACACTTATCCTTCTTAAGCCCTCATCCTCTTATTGCTTTAAAACTGAAAAGAAAAAAAAAAAAAAGAAGGAAAAAGAAAAAAAAATAAGAAGACGACTTTCCATAGATACTTCTAAAGTTTTTAAATAAATACTGACCAACTGGTAGTTCGTGGGATTTATGTTGTCTTAGCATCCTTTCAGCATGAGCATTGGGTATACCTTCTTTTGCTAAATTACTGACTCTCTTCCTCCTGAAATGTGCCCCTTTTTCATTAATGAGAGTAGCAATAATTACAAAATAGAGCTGGAAGAAAAAGAGATCCTTTGTGCCATTTCCCTACACACCTGATGCAAAGTTTTGCACAGCTGTAAATACCCTTGCCTGTTACCAATGCTCTTCATTTCTACTTGCTGTGTGCTGAAATGGATTCCACTTTATGACAGAGAGCAGGGACCAATCCTGTCTCACAGTGCTGTTTTGTTGGCACCTCCAGCTGGCAGCCTGATCACAGGGTTCATGTAACAAAGGAGAGCCCAGAAACTCTCCATCCTCTTCCACTCCGCTCTGCTACTTAAATAAAGAATTACTTTGGCCTGAGGCCCAGAACAGGTAAAATTCAATCCTAGGTGAATGGTTGTTTCTTCCACACATCAAGAAATTATTTTAAAGCTTCTGTAGGAAACTACTGAGCTGGAAAAGGAATAAGATCTCTCTCAAGCACCTAACACTCACTCTTAACCCTCAGAAAATCCAGGGAAGCAGTCTTCATAAATGTAACCAAGCATTCTAAGGTCATCTTCAGATTATATTAGCAATTGCCATGACTTTTCATGACCCTATAGAATTTGATAAGTGTAATAAAATATCTGCTACGTAGGTGGAGAAATAAAATTACCAAATAAGAAAAAAAATCATAAAATATTTCTCTGTAAAGGGAAGATAAGAGAGGCAAGAATTTACTGGAGAGGTCTTCTAATGAAACCCATTGATATCAAGATAAACCAAAAGCAGGATACAAAGAAACCATTTCCTTTTTGGGTTAAAATATGGGGTTTTTTGGTTTGGTTTTTTTTTTTTTTGCAGACGGCTGAAGTAGCCTGAAGTCTTCTAGTTTCCTTAGAGCAGCAGTGGGGGACTGTTAAATTTACATTATTAATCTCATGGATTTAATAATGGCAGGGAAAAATCATTAGCCCTGCAATTTACAGGCTACCTAGTGCAGAAAAGACAATACAGGGCACTTTCCTGACTTACATTGCAGGAATTTTTACATTTATGGAAATCAGAACTGCAAAGTTATAGAAGCAGGGAGACTGAGTGGCCAGAGAGGAAGGTTTCTTCTAGGGAAGACTCCAGAACTTCAGTACTGCTACACAGAGATAAGGGGAAGGGTGAGCTCAAAGATAGTAAAGGGTGTGTTATCCTTATTACAGAGTTGGCTGCACAGAACAATCTGCTGAACTTGTAACAAACACCTATCATAGCAGATTACAAGGTGGCCACAAAATTCCCTTTCCTTCATGTTAAATAAACAATGAATTCCTATTTTCCATGGTTTATGTGTTCTGTTTTGTTAGAATAAATGATTCCTTTTAACAAATATTCCAAAGTTAGAAGTGTTCAAATACCAAGTTAATGGGATAAAAACATTCATGTCCACAGTATTGAAAACAATCAGAAATTTGCTTTAGGAACACAATATGGTCTGTATATAAAAATCAAATGTGGGACCAAATCCATGCTACTGCACCAGCTGTGATTTCATACAGCAATGAGAAAATCAAAAAGTATTCTGTAGTACTTACATATTACTCAGTGCATATTTGTGTACATTTCAGGATGAAAGGAGGCTTTACAGACACTTTAAGAAAATCTGTTTTCTTCAGGATCCTGTCAAAACTGATATTTAAGCAGAGGCCTTGACTACTTACCACTAGTTCCCTCTTTGCGGCTCCGTGCACTGCCCTCTCTGCCAGATTTAATGCGCTGCACAACAGTGGAAAAGGTTTGAAAAGAACAGAACAAAAAAACCCATTTAGTAATATATATTAGAGAAAATTATTGAAAATTAAACACAGCTTGTTAATAAAACAGTAGAAGAATGTTAAACTAGACTTACTATACTGTAGCTACTAAAGTTTGTTTTTCAACACACGAAATTGTCCTTAAAATCAGGGTTAAATCCAATATTTATATAAAACAAGAGCTCTGTGAAATTCAAATAGAATATCTCAATAAATTATATTTCTTCAGATAAAATTTATACAAGGAATGTGCATAAAAATAGTTCAGATGTTCCTTTGTAAAGTACAGCTGAAAAAACAGGCAACACAGCCCTCCTTGCACGAGTTCAAAGTAGCCTCTGCCTATTAACATCTTGTAAATCCCACAAGCATTTTATTATTGTAAAGACTCAAAAGGTAGAAGTGGGGGAATCTATAAAAAGAACTATTCACCCTGTGGATCTTGGATTTTGAATTTTTGGCACAGAACTGTATTTCACAGCAAAATTTAATTTGCTGTTGAGTGTTAAATGCAAGATAAAGGTGAAGGTAAATACTTTAAAAGCTGTGTTTAAAAAGTCAGCTCTCTTGCATAGAGGAAGGTACCATAAACATCTCCCAGCTGTGTTTTTTTTGACTGTTATTTGAAAATTTTAACAGTTTATCAAAGCAATACCTCTGTATGACATGGCAGACTTAAGATCTTCTGGCAAAACACCAAATTTCTTATGCATACATCTTGTCAATTATAAGACAGGACACCTCAGCAAGGAACTTTTTGATAGGTAGGTACAAAAACTTGATGTTCAAAGCACTCAGCTATTAACAAAGTATCTCTGCATCTTACTTCAAAATATGAATTCAGGATCTGATTAAAACACACATCATGTCTTCAGGTCAATTACTATAAATTCTTCACTCATTTTTCACCAGAAAAATATCATGAAGTCTGGCAAAATTGGAATGATACCAAAGAAGTGAAAGAACTTTCAAGATTCATGCCAACAGAAAAAGGAAGAACTCTTAAATCAAAACCCACAGGAGTCAGACAGGAAAGCATTGAGCCTAGTGTGAAACCAGGACTGGTCTTGGAGCAATTCAGTCTGGGACCAGAATTTCTCACACTTTTTTATTTGCTTTGGGAAAGCCTCAACCCTAAAATATGTTCTCTGAATTTTGGATTAAATATCCTTTTCACAGCCTAGTGAAGTAGCATACATCAATCCTTCAGGAAGCCTGTCCAGACTCTCCCAACTGTTGAATGACTGACAGCAAGTCTGACAGCAGCTCAGCTTCTGTCTACCCAAGGGAAGCAGTCCCTATGTGATAGTGCCCTCTTGGCATTTACATCCTAGGACCTTTCTCCCAAAATATAAATAAGAACTACAGATAAAACATATTATTAACTTCTGTAAAATTCCAAGTGAATAGTTTGTAAGTAATCCCACACTAAAAGCAGACATTCAAAATAGGTTTCCACCCTAAAAATGCCTATTTCTCCCATGACTGCAAAAGACATTTAGGATGGCTAGCCCAGATGTGGATGTCTGAAGGCAAAGGCAGTAAGGCCCCTCCAGCATTTGCACCTCTCATCACTGCTTCTCACCACAGCCCATCAGCCCTGTTCTCAGTCATTAAGCTCACTTCACGGAAATAAATAGTAATGTGTGTACACGGCAGTGCCAAGGAGGCTCTGTGAACTTTTACACTATTACCTGTCTTTTCAGAGTGAAACATGAAAAAGGAAGACCAATGCAGTAAAAAACTCCGATCAAACAAACGAAAACAAAAATCCCCAGCTCCTCTCCCACCCCCACCACCCCCCAAACATTCCAACATATTGGAAGGTTGCAGTAAAAATTAAATGCTGTGAGAAGCAGGGAGAAACATTTCTACAGGGAATGAACTCCACAGATGTTCCCAGACTCTTGGCTGGAAGTATTTAACAACTTGTCCATATTTGAGAACTGAGGGAAATAAGTGCTCCAGAATATTTATTTTGGTATAAACTCCATGTGGATATACTTATTCTAGAAAAACAATACCAAAATAGAAAATTTTGATAAATTTCTACAGGAAGACAAACTCTGTATGCAGACTGTGAAATGGAGGTATACTACTCTAGCATTTTACTTATTTTGTCTTTACAGGGTGCAATTGAGAAGTCAAGGGTTAGTCAAAAATTGGGAGCAGGAATTGAACTGTATCTGGTACTGCTAACTGAAACCAGTATTCCTACTGGAAACTTAGGTGGTGAAATATTAAAATTTGGTAATATTAGAACTAGAAAGTATCGTTTACGACTGTATGGTCATGGATGAGAGAAGGAACTTAGAAAAAAAACCCCTAGTAATTTCCAAAGCCAGATGGCAGAGAGAAGACTAAAAATCACACACACAACCACCCCCAACCAAGAAACAAACAAAAAAACCTTCCCAAACCCAGAATCGGAGGATGGGAACCCAGATGTAACACCAATAGCAAAAGAAGGGACTGCAGGGCTATTGTTTGCAAGACAGCACTGATGTAGAGATTGTCACAGAAAGGTACTCCAGTACTAATGCAGGACAGCTGCACACTGAATCACAGTGTGTCCTGAAACATCTTTCCTTAGAGTCTTTGCTCCTTTACCAACTACAACAATGTTCATTTAAAAAAAAAACTGTGTCAGTGGGTTCCTTGGGAGCAGAAGAAGTTGTTCCTTTCCTTTGGGAGGAACTTGGAAAGTTTTCAGAGTGTGGCAGAGGAGAAGAAAAGCAGACCAGGAGATGGGAGCATGTCCTGCCAACAAGACAAGGAGAAGCAAGGAGCAGAAAGCAACTGATCAGACCTTCAGAGGTTCTGAAGAGAGTGTGCTTGGAACCACAGGGGCAGAGTTTTGCTCCCATTCAGAGCTTACTCAGGCTGGAAACACAGTCTGCAGGAATGAAGTTGACAGAACTGACAAGAAACCTGCTTTATTTTTATTATTGGCTATGGTTTTTAGGGGGCACAAAGGCAAGAAGCATGTTGGTCTGGGGTTTGTTTGGGTTTTTTAAATTTACTGCATTTCATTTTATCTGCTTAAATGAAAATTGGTTTAGTTTAAATTACAGTACTATCAGGCTTATTCAAAAGGCTGAATTAATTTTTTTTTTTCTTTTCTGGGTAACACACAAGAGGAAATATTTAAGCAGATCTATCTTAAAGTTTTAACTAATTAAAAGTGCCATCATAGACACCTTATTGGTTCCAGACAGGTCTGCTCTGCTCTGTTCTCCCGAGACCCCAGAATTGTGTGTCCAGTTCTGGAGCATCCAGGGTAAGGACATGGCCTTGCTGGAGAGGGCTGAAGTTGTTCAGCCTGGAGAAGAGAAGACTCTGGGGAAATGTTGTGGCCTTTCCATACTTAAAGGGGTCTTAAAGACAGGGACAGACTTTTTACTAAGGCCTGTGGTGACAGGACAAGGAATAATGGCTTTAAACTGAGAAAGGGTAGAGAAGGATCAAAAAATACATTGAGGATTTTGGGACACTGGAACAGGTTGCCCAGAGAAGCTGTAGATGACCATCCCTGGAAATGTTCAAAGTCAGATTTCACGGGGCTCTGAGCAACCTGATAGTGGAAGATGTCCCTGCCTACAGCAGGGGGTTGAAACTAGTTTATCTTTAAATGTTCTTTTCAATCCAAACCATTCTGTGATGCTGCTTTGCAAGGTTAGTGTAACAGCATAGCATCAACACACTCTTAAACAGGAATACTGAAATGCAACACACAGAGGGAGCTGCCCACATCATGGTTGAATTATGGTCACTGCTAAAGCCTGAACAGAGTCAGATTTCATGAGGCTCTGAGCAACCTGATAGTGGAAGGTGTCCTGCCTACAGGAGGGGGTTGAAACTAGATTATCTTTAAATGTTCCTTTCAATCCAAACCATTCTGTGATCCTGCTTTGCAAGGTTAGTGTAACAGGATAGCACCGACATACTCTTCAGGAATACTGAAATGCAAGACACAGAGGGAGCTTCCCACATCATGGCTGAATTATGGTCACTGCTAAAGCCTGAACAGCCTAAACCAAGTGTGCAAGAACTTGTGCAACCACGAGTCTGTGTTGGATCCCACTTCTGTCATTCAGGTATGACTTACTGAATTCCCTTAACACAACAAAGTCAGAATGAAAAAAACACCGTAATTTAAACATAATTTTTATGTTACTAAAATCTTAATTTACTTAGAGAATTTAAACTTTTAAATATTCTATCAGTAGCTTTTTCCTCATCAGAAAGTAGTGTGTTTGGGAAAGCTCTTGGATCCCATATGAAATAAACAGAAAGAGATATGACAATTTTTAGGGTTTTTTTAAAATTGTGTTCAAATATTAACTTTCTTAAAGAAAAAAAGGTGTTTCCTTTAATGACCTTGACATTGCCCATTTACAATTAACACCTTCAGTGTAGAAAAAAGCCCAGAATTACATTCAAAGAAATTGAATGTAATTCAATTCTCCAGGGACCTCTCTCTTTCTAATCAGCTATAAAATAAACCAGTTTTAACTGGTTTTGTGGGTGAGCTTTCTCAAGTAAAGCACTGAGGTATTGAAAGTTAGTGCAACAAACGCCATACATCACTGGCACTGAAGTGATCAGAAACCAAGCAAAGGTTGTTTAACACACTTCAATGAATCTCTTAATTGTGAGTTCTGCAGATTAGGTACATTATACCTGGTCATCTCTTTTGCTTACTGATACAATTATGGGGAGACATGGAGGAATATCAATCCCACTACAGCTGTGGACTGCTTTCTTTTGTCCATGTTCCCAAGTGCTTTGAATTTTACAGTTATTGAAAAACCCAGTCAGTACACTTCAGCCAGCCCTTCAAAGTGTGGCTGTAGCATGAAGCTGCAATCCTTCAGTCAGTGTTTCCCCTGTGAGTTTCATTTCTAATGTGTCTTTGTGTTCACGTGCATACTCAGGCTCCCTGGAACTTAAGCAGAAGTAGCCAAAAACGCATGTGCACGTGATCTGTCATCAAAAGGGATCAATAAGTGTTACTAAGAGCACAGTAAGTTAGTTAAGACTTAATGTATACTAATGTGACTATGTAGATTTGAGGCAATTCTCTGAATAGGCAAACCAAGCTTGAATACTTTGCAGCTCAACATTATGGATAATGTTTTTCAAACAAGCAGCTGTTTTTAATTTTAAAATCTTATTTTATCACCAGAATAGCAAAAAAACAATGCATGAGTGCACACACACACAAATGTGAGCTCACTCTTCTGAACAGAACACAAGTTATGATCTCATACCTTTCACAGCCTGTTACTTTTCCATGGAATTCTTTTTATTTTGGTTTAAAAATTGGCACTCACATGAATCGTTTACTTCTACCTATATAATATGCCAATGCTGCAGTTTTGTACATAACAAAAAAGGAGTTCTTTTACATGGACAAATTCTTAGGCTTCCCATCTCTCCCTGTAGTTGCATTATTACTTGGCTCATAAATACACTGAAGTATTAAATAAAATCTGGCAAGTGAGTAGGAAAGACGACATTCCACAGACATTGAATTATGCGAGTGGCTCTGGCATTCCCTCATGTCCACACAGTCCATCTTTCACTAGTATTTAAAAATCACAGAAAATCTGGTGCTCAGAAACTATTCAGACAGATGTAAGACTGATCAGTAACTTAAAGCCAAGCCTCCCAAACCCCCAAAATATCAGCCTCTGTAAACCAGGAAGTTAACAATGCATTTTGTCTTGAAGTATCATGAATATTACCTTAGTGTCTTCTACATCTGTAGCAATACTGTATGATACACAGAGAAACAAACTTACCTGCTCTCTGATTTCTTTTAATTTTTCTGCTTTCTTGAGCTTTGTTATATATTCCTGGACTTCTTTCAGCCCCATGTCTGTGCAGAGACGAACTAAAAACCGGAGGCCTAATTGGAAAGAAGATTGTTAGAAGAAGACTTAAGCAGGTCAAACTACAAGTGCACCCTGACAGAACTGGACATGCAGAATGGCAAACAGCACAAATAACTGCAAACAAGGTGACTCCAGTCCAGTATCACTATACAAGTGGTGATATTTTGCAAGTAATTCAACATTTTCTCTGTGTCTGTATCTATTAACAGTACAAAGAGCATTGGTATATGTGGAAGGCAAAAGGCATACTAACTATTTTGGCTCAGAACTCTTGACATTTGCAAAATATTTTGGAAGCTGGAAAGCACAGAAATGATACTACAATATTACTAAGGAGCTGCTATCAAGAGAATTTTGTTGAAAACAATTTTGCAAATGCTAAGTGAATCAAAATGTTTTTTTCCTCTGTCTGTGGTTGATTGTTAAAGAGCAATATCTATAGAATTAAGAAACCCCAACAAAGCTGACATAAAAATCAAATGTAACGGTATGATTGAACTGAAAGAATCCCTAAAAAACAATCTCCTAAGACACTCCTACCAAACTCTGAAAACACTGTTGGTATTCCTATGTGTTTGTCAACATTCATTTCAAAGAACTGAAGCAGAAACAAGCAGGACATGATCCATTCTCTCCAGACTGCTTTCACAAACATGTTATTTCATTTTGTGCTAAGTTGGTTTTCTGCTGGTTTAGGAAGCCCATGATCAGGGACGGATGAGGGAAGAACCATTGTTACAGCAGTAGAAAACTTGAATCAGTTAAATTGTCTTGCCTAACTCCTCCCTCCATTTGTGAAATTTGTAGAAACTATGTTCAGAAACATATTTGCATTCTAAAAGGTTTACTACATGCCCCTCTGAAATATGTGTGAGCAACACAAACACGATATTTTACTTATAACTTGGAGGAGTTACAGTACTGAATTTCACTTGTACAAGAGAACTGTGATTCTTCTTTTAAAAAGCAACAAATTTGTTAAAGCAGAACGATACAATTTTAAAATAAAATACAATGAATGTTCTTCCCACACTGCATCTGAAAGCACAGACTTGTTGGCGACAACCTTGTATTCTGGGATTTGTGAGGCACAGTGTGGGAGGGAAGAGAATGTTTACACAACCACTGACAACCCTTATTTTCTATAGGGCATTTTTATTTAGAGTACAGGTGCGACTGATTTTGCAAAATGTCTTACTCTTCAACTGTGTTTCCTGTAGTGTAGTTTGAAATCCTCTACGGATTTTCCAGAGACTGGGTGACCAGCTGTAGTTAAAAACCCAGCAACAAAATCTCATCCTCAATGTTTTTTCTGGAAACCCTGACTTTGATAAAACTTAGCAATAAGATTTTCTTGTATCTAGAAATTTACAGCAGGAATTTCAACTAGCAAGAATGAGAAGTAAAAACACATCTATTTTTCATAAGAAAGATTAATAAAATGGTTATAAAATCTAGGACATATGTATGAGAAAGAACTCATCCAATGCAACTCAGATAAAGTTTATTTTCATTGCTCTTCTGCAGCATTACCCTCATATTTCTTAAATCACCCATCAGTGCTGTCACAAAAACCATGCAGCATTTAGCATCAATAAAAGTATTAGTTAATGGAAGTATTTTAATATGAAAAATACATCATATGATTATTAACACACCTATGTAACAAATTTTCCTTTGATAGTTACACCACAGAATGAAACAACTTACATTCAACATTCTCTGGGAATTTTCTGTGAATGACTTTGTATTTCTCCAGAGCTTTCTGGTAGTTGCCTGCAAACAAACCAAACATCTCCTATCCACATATTCAAACATAAAAAAGAATATTTGATGAGAAATTGGAAGACCTTAACATCAATTCATCTTTATAGTTAATGATTTAATATTGTAGGACCAAATTTGATAAGACCAAACTTAACATTCTTTATTAATGGATAGTAAAAATTAAGAGCATCTGAAAACAGTCCAAATTACTCTGTAAATAACAGAATTAATGAGGAGGAGGTTCCTGATTTCTGGGGGTTTTTTTGACCTTCCTCTATGACACCATTGTTCCAGTATCTCACCATGCTCACAATAAAGAATTTCTCCCTTATGCCCAGTCTAAGTCTACTCTTATGCAGTTTAAAACTGTTGCTCCATGACCTGGAACTGCAGACCCCAGTCTGTCTCCATCCTTCCTACAAAACCCAATCATTATTCTCCCAGCTGAACAACCTCAATGATTTACAAAAAAATGTTACAAACCTGCAAGTAATAACAAAAAAGTTACAGAACTTACCACTTCTTCTGTAGCAACTGGCAACCATCAGCTGCCACTTCACTTGTGTTGGCCTGCATATAAATAAAACAAAATCATGTACACTGCCAAACAATGAATGAGCAAAATAATCTGCATAGCACTGGTAAAGACTACTATTTACCTACTAATCAATTTTTCACCTAGCATGTTGCCTTCCTAGAAAGAATGTATCCTGCTCAGCTCACACACCGCTGCATCACACACCTGTTTCCAGGACTCCACGTCACTCATTTTCAGTCCCATGTTAGGGTTTTCCTCAGGTTCATGATTCTGTGCCCACACACAATTAGTAGAGCTGACATGTGAACCACCAATCTTTGTCAGAGACACAGAACCATGCCATGGGGGAGGAACAAAATGCTCAATTGTATTCTGAGGAGGTCCCATCACCAGGGTTTCACACGTGCCCAAGGGATTCCTGCCAGGAAACACAGTCCCTGCTGACAGCTTTGAACTCTGGCTCCTCCTCTGAGCTATCACCTTGATGTCCTAGCTGCTGCCTGTCCTTCTCTTTTTAGTACATAATGGTGACAGTACAGCCAGAGAAAATATTTGAGATGCTTGAGCATGTACAATAAAACTGTTGGACTCTTTCATCTTTTTATCAAGACAATGTGAAAATTAGGAAATTTTCATGTTAACAGTACAAGCATCCTCTATAAGCCAACGCACTTTGTACATGTAGCTTATAATTGAACAGCAGCTTATCCAAAAGGTACTGTAAGTTAACATTATCAGAATAATTTTGTACTTATCCTCTTCAGTTTTCCTCTCTAATCATAGCACAGGCCATTTTTAACTCTAAGTAATCTGTTCACCTGGTAGCTGCCAAGCAAGTTCATGAAATACAAATGTTGCACCTTTTTAGATTCAGCTGAATGTGTCTCCTGCAAACAAAGGCAGCCAAACACACACCATATAGAATTTATTACTCAGTTCAGTATGAAAACTCTAGAGAGAATAAATTGTCAGCAGCAAGTACTAGCTAGACTAAGTCCTTTTATTAAGGATAGACTTCAGCATGCTAGGAAAAATAAAATAGTGAAAAACTGTTTCCCAATTCATTGTCTAACACACTATCTTAGAATGCAATTTAAAGAGTAGTTATTGTGATTAAAACACTGAATGTATTAAACAATAAAATTTAAAAATGCTGTTGACAGTTAAAATAAGGATATAATTTTAAAATGCAACTTTATTTAAAGTTGGTAGCAATTTATATTTACATTCATATTTACCAATTAGCATACCTAGTCTCTATTTTTAATACCAAATAAACAGCAAAATATTTATACTCTGTTGTCTACTATTAAAAATCTCCTCCCATAGAGAAAACATTTTTCTGTATCACAGATAGACTACAAGTAATACTGAACAATTTAATATGCCAATTCTTCATAAGTACTTTACAATCCACATACTTCATGCATGGAGTGAATGCGACATGAAGCACAAAATATTTAAATCTTTGCCAAAACAAAATTATGAAATAATTCCTCTCATTCTCAGCTTATTCTCAGTTTCTTTCCAAATTTTCTAAGAAGGCCGTGAATGCCAGCATATGAAATCTCACAGCTTGACTAAAATGATTTTTTAAGGTGGCCAGTATTTCTAGGGAAAGAATACTGGCAAACATGTGAACTGTGATTTCTGTCAGCTCTGCTGTGTATTTCTGTCTAATCTATTTCTCTATTTCTTTATAAATATACCACCATTTGAGTGAAGTCTATTTTGCTCTATTTCTTTTCATTTTCAATCCTTAATTAAACCTTAGATTTTCTCATGTGTAATTAATGTCTACTCTAACCCAAGCTTCTCAAAGCCAGAATTGGGATTTTTTACTGAACTTCTTTCAACCTATATGCAGAATCATTTTTCCTTGAATTACACTGTACGGATTTTTTGTTCACATGCTGTTTTGTACATACATGTCATTCAGATTCACAGAACAAAAAGAATGTAAAATTTCAGATCATCACAAGAGAAACAATAACAGAGTTTTGCATAACTTTTCATAGTTTTCCTAAAACACAAAATAAAGAAATTCACACTTATTGGGAGTGAATTTTAGTTCATTCATTAACATAAAATTCTTCATGAACCTATAGACATGTATTTGTTTCCACATAAAAAAACCTGTGTGTGTATTTTTAGAATTCTCTTTGAACTCTGGATTACAAATTTATATTTGATGAAATTTTATTTATAAACCATTCTCTAGTAAGGTCTCTTTCTGAACTAAAATAAAGTATATGGCCTATATACTTACTCAAGTGCATCATATTCTGCTAAAGAACAATTTCAAAAAATAAGTTTTTGAACTAAACTCAGTATAATTCAAATATCTTTATCAGGATCAGTTTAGTTTGTCAATTTATTTTCACTGATTACTGGTACAGCACTGCACATTTTTGCTTACTTATATGCCTTATTTGATGGAAGTAGAAGCTGTCAATTTATTTTCACTGATTACTGGCAGTACAGCACTGCACATTTTTGCTTACTTATATGCCTTATTTGATGGAAGTAGAAGTCATATGAAAAGAGGAAATGCAGTAAGATCAGCAAAAACATACACTTATCTGAACCACCAAATCCTCACTGCATAATAAAACAATAGAAAGGAAATATTTCACATGAAGCCATAGAGAAAGAGGTCTTGATGGCTTTGGAGAACTGTTCTCCAATTCACAGTTGTGTTTAATGGCAGATAATAGAGAAAAATAGGTTCTAACACCTAACACTCTCTTGGGCCCAATGGAGGATTTTATTTAACACTGAAAATGCAAAGTTAGAGCAAAAACACGCTGTAAATGAACAGAAAGTTGAGAAAAATTAAAAAATATCACAAATTTTCTTAATCCTGCTGTTCATTTATATATTCAAGTCATCCAGCTGATTTATCTCTAGGTATTCTGATGGATGACTAATCAGAAATCTGAGTAGGCATAAAATAATAACTACTTACAGGATAAGTGCTGCCCTTTCAAAGTACTCAATGGCTTTTTCACAGAACTGGGTGTCAATGTAATACGCTCCAAGCCATTCAATGACCTCAATGTTGGAAGGGAAATACCGGTACGACTGACAAAATAGGAAAGGTGAAAAACCACACAACTTTAGTGATAAACAACATCTTTATGCTGCTTCTGGAATATCTTACTCAAGTGCTTAATTCTCCAGATGCCCAAAACATGTAATATAAATGAATGGAAGTAGTGTGCTACACTAAGTGATCCTGGTGGGGGATAAAAAAAAAAGCATGCTAAGTTTTCTAATTGCAGAATGCTTTTTAGAAGTTACCCAAGATAAGTCTGTCACATTTTCCATCTAGCCTTATTTGAAATACTATTTTAAATAGCTTGCAACAGCAAAAACATTTACTGAAATCACATCTATGTATGAATAACTTACCTAAAACTTTTAACAATGCCAACTAATAAGTGTACAATTCCATGCCCACATCAGTCTGCTGGAAAACTCACCCCAAAGCATTCCTTTCTGTACATAACTACGTGAATAGCATTTTCAGCTTTTTAGAAATTCCCTCTGAAATAGGCAGCAAAATTATCATCTAACATAACTCAAGTGGTAATTCACACTGCAACACAGCCTTTGGTCACCCTCACTTTGCACAGATAAAGAAAGAGAACTCTCAGTTTGCACCAGACACTTCCCGTCTTATTCTTGTTTCTAACACAGAAGAATCTCTACAAACTGTGGACAGAAATACAGCTGGTTTGAAATTAAAGAGGCTGCATATCTTTAGGCAACTGTGTATACATATGTATAGCTATACTGTTAAAATATATATAAAAACTTCCAAACATAAACAAAATAAAATCTACAGGTATCTGCATGTTATACAGACACAGTTTCCAATCAACTCAGTCATATTACAGTACAGCTGGTTTGAAATTTAAGAGGCTGCATATCTTTAGGCAACTGTGCATACATAATGTATAGCTATACTGTTAATATATATATAAAAACTTCCAAACATAAACAAAATAAAATCTACAGGTATCTGCATGTTATACAGACACAGTTTCCAATCAACTCAGTCATATTACACACCTGTAAAATTACTTCTATTATATCCTAATTTTATTTTGTCCCAGGCTGTATTTTAAATTAACATTATTACAGGTCAGTGTAAACAATGACTATACAAAAGAAAATGTAAAGTCTGAGGCCAATATCCACATGGAAACAAAGCCTATGTATTTCCTTAGGATGTGACTTCAAAAACCAGATTTTGTTAACTCTCACCCAGTATCTCTTTTTTAGCCTCTTTTTGGATGACATTTTATAAGGTTTAAATTAATCAATTATTAATTTGATATAGGAACCCATGGCAAAATTTTCTTTACTTAGGACAAAGTGCATGGAAAAAGCAAAATTACCTCACAGTAATAATGAAAAGCCTGGGATTTATCACCTTCAGTATCATATAAATTCCCTAGCTTTGCAAGTACATGTGGATCAGTTGGTACTACACTGATCAACTGCAGCAGCCACTCTATGGCTTGATTGGGATCTTCCATGATTTGGTATCTGAGTTTTCCTCAGTCAAGGACTGATGTCAATTATAGTTTGACTTAGAATCCCTGCTACTTTACCTAATGAAATCCATGTGCTGAACACTCCACCAGTCACTGTAGTGTGGAGGCACAATGACTTTTTTCCTTCCACACTGTTTTTGTAATTTCATTTGTATCAGAAGTATTTTTGTTATGCTAGAAGAAGAAAAGTATTTAGAGACTTTGTCTACTCTTTCACCTTAGAACCACACAGGACTCAACAGAACTTTGGGCTCAGTTGTCCTCACCTCTCTCTCTGACACTAATTTTACTTTGACTTCCATATTTATAAGAATGAAGTGTGAGAGCCAGGCCATTTATTTGCAGCCTTTACAACCTGGCTAGTTTCTGTACTAGCAGCATTTTGTTCTAAAGTGATTAGGTAAAACTGCAATTCCCAAGAAAAGCCTTTTGCCAGCAGGGGGGTTTTCTGCTGTATGTCTAAGCAGCACAGCCCAGACTATTCTAGTCCAGAGAACAGCAGTTTTAGCTGTAACTCAGCCTGCAGTGTGCTCTTACCTCCTGAATGACACATTGCCTCAGAGCTCTGCAGCACTGTCAGCTGGAGCTACTGCCCAACCTCTTTTTTCAGATTCTTCTGCATCCTACCTGACACTGAAGAAGCTTCTGAGAATTGGTGGAAACCAGTTTTACAGAGCAGTGGAGCAAAGAAGCTCTTCCCCAGATGGACACTTGGGCCATCTGTGCTGCTGTAAAGGGACTATGCATGGAATAGAGATCAGAGCCCTTTCATATGTTTGGAGGTTACTTATTTTACTGACTAGAATATATTTTTATTACCTACACTATTCCTAAAAGTGTAGTACATCAGCTGGAATCTGTTTTGCCTTGGGGAGGATTTTTTTACAGTTTGGACATCCTCAGAAGCATTGTTAAAGAAGTTCATAGTTTAGGGAATCACTGGCGATGTGCAAAGCCAATCTCTTCCCTCAGCTTTTCAATCTGTTGAGCTTTTGCAATGCTGGGAGACAATTTTCTTACACATACACTAACTAATCTGAAAACAGCTTTTAGAACAGAACTTCCTATTTATTAGCTATATAATTTTTTTTTTAAATCTTTCACTTAATTGTGCTTACATCTGCCACATTCATTTCATAGCAAAACCAGCAGCATTTTAAGTATTCCATGACACAATTTAATGCTGAGTGTAAATCTAACCCCTGCAATGTGAGCAGTCTTAATGTTCTTCACTTGCTTCACTGGAAATATTCAATATGGGTTGTGTTCTGGTCTCATTTTTCTCACAGACACCAGATAATAAATCATTCTTACTATAATGGACACCATAGTAAATTTCTAAATCACCTTGACATGATTGAAACACGTATTTCAGATTAAATGAGTTTACTAAAACCACCATTCCTTATAATAATCCAGAAAAAGATACATGCTTGCTAGCTGGTAAAGGACTTGGGCACTATTTGGAAGGATTGCATGGAGTTTCAGAAAACAATCCAAAGCTTCATCTATCCTGTTTAACTTCTTGTAAGCTAAACCTAAAAAATAAAGGTTACAGTATTAATACAATGAAAAACAGATTACTTCAGTATATTAACTGAAAGGATGACCAAGAAAAGCAAAAGAGGAACACAGTACTTGGAGGCAGCCTACCTGCCTTGACTTTAAAAAACTCTCTATTTGTGAGAGCCATGCACAGAGCTGTTATCAGCCAGCATGACCTACCAAACTGATAAACACAAGGAACGAGAACCCAATCAAAGACCAAGGACTTACGTAATCTCATTTTTTGAACAAGATGAATGAGGGAAAGACAAGGCTTTTAAAGGAGAATGACTGATAGTTTAATAATGCTGAAACTAGTATCCTTTCAGCAGGTAGTATGAATTTCTTCAAATTTATTAATCGCAATTACTAATTGATGTTGTTAGCACTGGGAATTTTTCTGCACAACAGACAGTAGTATAAGTTAATATGTTGCCATAACATAAATTACTCAATAAAGTAATAATAATTCACACATATTTCTGTAAGAAAACTTTCAAAGACAGATTCTCAGAAACACTAGTGTTACCTTCAGTCAAAACTAAATCACAATAGCACCTGTTACTTACCAAGATTATAAAGTGCTTCAGTACATAAGGAATCATTCCTGAGAGCTTCCTTATAAAATTCAGCTGCTTTTTCACAGTCTCCATTTGCAAAAACAGTATTTCCTTTGTTAGTCAGAGCTGCTGGATTGTACCTATCAGAATTTACTGCTAAATCTGCATAGTTAGTTGCTTGTTCCAATTCATTCCCCTACATGAACAAAACAAACATTGTATTAGTCATTTGTCAGCTAATTTTCTTGCAGTTCCAGCTTCTTCCAGGAATTTCAGGAGATTGAGGATGAAAAACTACCCCACTACTCAGTCCTAAAATACTTGTAATATATAAGGTAGATCATCTCTTTCAAGTTGCCACTCTGTCCCATTCAGTCTGCAAGCTCTCTCTGTTGCAATAAAGTAGCATTTATTTTTTTTTTAAATTTTAAAATCCATATCCTACAAACTTCATACACAAACACACCTGCCTAAGCTGCCTATTTCACATGTTCCTGAAGTTCAGCCAGGGTTCCCAGGGCCAATGTTTTAAATCCAGCCACTGAGCTTCTGCACAAATCCAACTGCAAGCATGTTTCTGTGGCCTGGGGCTCAATCTCACTCTTCTTCCCACCAACAGTATACAAAGGGACCTGATCCAAATTTCAATTGGTGTACCAGAATAACTACTCTGAGGTGCAGTTTCTTCTGGTTTACAGAGATTATTTAGGCAGACACAGAAATTGCTACAAAAATACAGAGGTTGCTACATAAACCTCAGTTCTTAACTGGTTTTGCTGAAGCAAACACTTACCAAATAATAAAGGAATGAAAGGTTTGTTGCAGCTGCACTCTTTACTCTGCTATCCTTTTTTTCAAACATTTTCAAAGTCTCCAGTGCCTAGAAATAATTTGGAAACAACTTACTTCACACTGAAGTGAATTTATTCCAAAATCCTTTCAGAAAGCATTGACAAACTTCACAGTAACAAACAGCTGAAATTATCTACAACTAATATACTCACACACATGATAATTACTAGAGCTTGTAACATACACTTCTGAGCATGTGCACACAAAATTGTGTCTGTATTTATTCAATATTAATTTTCATCATATTACTTCAATAATATTGGCTATTTATTACCTATCCAAAATTTAGATTAAATAAGGCTTCTGTGAACTCCAGCTGACAATTCTGTATGAACAAAACGTAGTGTTAGATGGTTTGCTTTTAATCTAGTCAACTAATGAAATGTCTCATGCCTATTTTTCTAGTTCTTTAAGTGAACACAAATGAATTTACATAAAATCTTTATTAAAAAGCTGAAAAAGAACACACTATATAAAAAATACCATGGGGTAGGACTGGATTTCAATGTGCCTTTGTTTCGTGTAATAAGATGATGACAACTGTCTAAGTTTAGGAAGTACTCAAATGTGAAGCTTGAGGCCAGAAGATTTTTTTTTAAACTTTAACACGAAAACTGAATTTCATAAACTTCAAAATAAACATGTTTATAGACAAAAAGGAGCATATTTATAGCAAATAAACTACAAAAACCCCTCTGATATAAAAGGCAGCTTTTTCTTTTCATTGACTATGGAATAAATTTGTAACTGCAGACTAAATTATGAAATAAACCTGTCTCCCTTATGCTAAATATTTATATTAACAACACAAACTGTTAGAATATCACAGTGAGCCCAGATCCATCATCTATTACAACACAGATGTGGCAACCACAATTTAACCATCAACATTAGCAATTCAACTTTCCTTCCTCCTTTGCATGAAATCTTTAAGCTGCTGTTTACATATCAAAGCAAAAGCATGACACCATATGTCAAATGCCAAAACAAACATAAAGGGAAGTTTTAATTGGATGTCATACATAGTTTTCACAGTTACTCTACACAAAAACAGCAACTGTATTAATGATGTGCAAAATGATAAAATATATACAGCTAAGTGTAGTTCATAGATTCGGTCAACTACATTCTACCCAAGAACTATGAACTATTAATGATCCTAATATTCTTCTAATAGAAAATTCTTTAAAAATACACCAATTTCAATCAAGAAAAGCATTACAAAAGTTAGGCTCTAGATTTTGTGGTCTCAGAAATGTAAGAATTGTAACTACGATACTTTTAAACTTTATATATATATATACTTGTGACTTTCTCTAAGAAAGGAATAATCCCAAATATTGCCAGATGTAACACTACTATATCTGAGGTACTCTGCTCTTAAGCAAAGATTTGCTTCTTCATGGAATTAGCTTCTGGATAATTTAGAGCTTTACAGTTCAAAGTTACAATCAGAAATGGATTTTCAGAAAGTATCTGATTTATTTACTTTTGCTTGTACTGCTAAATGGCACCTTGGATGATAAAGCCCTAACAGAAATGCCCTTTTCATGTATAACAAAAAGTTCATATGATTCTGAACTCAATTTATTTACTGGTAAATTATGTTGTGGGTCTCTTGAACCATTTCAGCAATTATGAGCCCTAGGATGAAAATCCATAGGCAATATTCCATTTGTCCTTGTAAAGTAGTACTGCATCATCAGTTATATCTGAAGATTTCTAAAGAAATTCTAACTTTTTAATCCCAACAATAACAATTACTTAGGTTCAACAATCAAAACACAGGCTATCCAAACTATTCTTCGTGAGTTGCTTCCAGTGTATCTACATTATTTGCTTATAGAAGTTAAACTTCAAAGCAGTTTGTCTGACTCCAGCAGGCTGTGCCAGAGATGTTACAAGATGCATGGCTAACATGCAGAATTTTGTTTTTAAATTAATTTTCAAAGTTTTTGTTTGATATTTAAAAAAATCCAAAGTATTTTATACACACAACTAAATACAACTTGGTAATTTTCCTTTGAATTTTGTTTTATATTTTTTATGCAAGGACTGTTTTAAAATAATATATTCATTATGATGAACCCATACAGCCCATTGTTGTAACAGGAGAAATCTATTTCAGTGTGGGTTTTGGTTTGTTTTTTTTGGGTTTTTTTTTTGTTTTTTTTTTTTTTTTTTTTTTTTAGTATGGGTTTTGGTTTTTCTTTTGTTTTTTGTTTTTTTTTTTTTGTTTGTTTTTTTTAAAGATGCAATAAAACCTCAGCCTTGGAACAGAGTATTTCAAAAAGTTTCCATTCTTGTTATTCAGCCAAAGGTGTGTTGAGCAGTTGGTGAGTTAGGAAGTATATGAACAACAGACAGGCAGGATGAATGTAAATGTTTGCTGCAGTTTTATTAGAAAAAAACAAATATAAAGATGCTCTGCAATCACCATTTTGCAGTCCCACTCTACTAAGCTGTTCCAGTGCAGGTTAAAGGTCTTCTGTCACAAAATCCAAGCAAAAGGGTTCTTCTCCCCTTACTCCTAACTTCCAACAGACTTCCCTCTCCCTCCATTGAAGTACTCCACAGAACACCAACAATCACTGTACCTTATTTTATCTCTAAGAACTAATTTTAGGGTTTTTTACCTATACTGAACACTAACTGGAAATCACAAAAAATTACCATTGAAACAATAAATTCTTGAGATCATGAGACTTTTTACCCACCTGTAACATTCTCCCCTTCAAAAGCTATCATCAGTAAAGCTACCAGATTTGCCCAAATCTTTGCAAACTCTCAAACTGCTTCCTGATCTCAGAAAAGGTTTCAATGTGCTGGTTTTGGCTGGGATAGCTAATTCTTTTCATAAAAACTTGTAGGGGGCTCTGTTTTGGGCTTGTGCTGGAAACTGTTGATAACACGGGTTTAGCTAAGCAGGGCTCACACAAAGCCAAGGCCTTTTCTGCCCCTCACCCCACTCCACCAGTGAGTGGACTGGGGGTGCACAAGGAATTGGGAACTGGGACAGGACACAGCCATGACAGCTGGCCCCAGCTGACCAAAGGGAGGTCCCAGACCTCAAGGTGTCATACCCAGCACATAAAGCTCGGGGGAGAAGGAGGAAGAGGGGATGTTTGGAGCAATGCTGCTTGTCTTCCCAAGGCACCATTATGCATGGTGGAGTGCTGCTCTCCTGGAGGATGGCTGAACACACCTGCCTGCCCATGGGAAGTGGAGAATGAATTCCTTGATTTGCTTGTGTGCACAGCTTTTGCTTTACCTATCACACCGTCTTTATCTTAGCCCATGAGTTTTCTCCCCTTTACTCTTCTGATTCTATCCCCCATCCCAGCAGGGCAGGGAGTGAGTGAGTGACTGTGTGGGGTTTAGTTGCCAGCTGGGGTTAAACCACAACAGTCAGACATGCAGGATAATACAGGATAACTCTCTTGCTGTATCTACAGGGGAGGAGAAGAGAACAAGACAGACAGGAAGATAAAGAGCCGCTCAGAAAACCAGAAAAGCTTAAATATGAGAAGTAAAAGCAGGCTGAAGTTAAGAATGTGGCCCGGTGTGCATCCCTCCAAGATTTGGGAATGTGAATGACCTTAGAAGATGATAGGTATCCACACCTTCAGCTCCAATTTTGCTGCATATGATCTACTGTATTTCTTGCCACTCATGAACAGCTAGGGATTGCTCTATTCCTTCTTATTTATGAAGTATTCCTATCACTGACTGTACCAGCCAGTGCATTTTAAAAGAAAACCTGCCAAACCCTTTCAGATATCTGATTTTGTTTTTGTTCAGATGAAACTTTTTTTCTAACTACTCATATTCCAAATGAAGCCTGGTATGTAATGAAATGACGAAAGAGCCAACTAAAGTGTAAGGACAATTTACAGTATTTTAGGGAATGCTGTAGTACGTGTGGAGCAGCAAAAATACCAGAGCATAAACAGTAACTATACATAGCAGGTGCAGCTGCATTTATTCTGGTACTACAGCCAACCTAATTGAGAGAAAGATACAGCTCATATTAATGAAAACACCCCCAGGCTGATTAGCACAGGCTTTCTAGGCTCTATTGACTGTACTGACCTGAGTTCCATTAACTGCAATGACAGCTGGGACACCCAGTGAAGAAACCTACACTTAGGTTTTGATTTTAAAATGCACTGTATTCACTCTAACTTCCACGCACAAATTTAATTTAGATAAAATTTGTCTCTTGCCAGTATTTTTATAAAGTTATATTACTCATCAGCACCAAAATAATTATTATTTGCACAAATCACACTTTCCCTTGCCAAAAAATATGCTGTGACTAACAAAGGTATCTTTGCAAATACAGTATTGACTAGTACTAATGTGAAAAATTACTATACCTGGTTAAAATTCTGTTGCCTCAAGTAAGTAGTGGCTTTATTTATTTCCAGATCATTGGCTAATTCTACATAGTGGGAAGCTTTCACTGCATCAACACACCTGCAACAGAAAGCAAGCCACAAAGATAAACAAAATGCATCTATGCAAATGCCTCCAAGTTACATATTTTTTTTCAGCTAATTTGCTTTCCAAACTGAATTTTCTTAGCTCATCTTTCTTCACAGTGGCAAAGAGCACTCTGATTAAAAATACTTGTAAGAGTATTTCAGTCCTAAAACCCACCCTAATTATAGTATCTCTGCTGACTCTTGTTTAAGTCAGCTGCCTAAATATCACTTTATTTTCTATCACTGAGCAATACTTGATGTCAAAAACTGACTAAAATCATTTTTCAAGCCATTTTCTTTGGCTACATCCTATAATGTGGTTTTTCAAATTTCATCTCTGGATGCATATATTATCTAACCTATAAAAATATCAGTGAATAAAGTCAGAGACTACAGACTGTGTCCCTGAGCTACATCATAATACGACTCAAGTCATAATAAGTTTTATTCTGGTCATTCCCCAGTAATTTGTGGCTTAGGGTCTTCTGCAAAAAGAGTGCAGAACCGAAGGCAGCAGACAGTTAGGATGCTCACTCACAGCCACCATCTTCCATGGTTTGGTGTCATCTGCTTTCAGCTGCCTGATCATTTAAGTAAGACCTTTATTGTACACATATCCTGTTCTCTCAAACATTTGGAAAATAGGCACAGTAAATGAACAACTTGTGGGATGCTTCCTTGACACCTTCCACTATTTTTTAACTGGTGGAAAGCCACCTTTTTTCCTTTTAATAATTGGCTATTTTGTCAATAGAAGTTTAATTCAGCAAACTGCCTGCTGTTATCATTGGCTTGGCACATGGACAGTCTTTAGACAAATTACTTTTATGTTAGAGGAAAAGTTGAAATAAAAATTGGTAATTTTTTCTTTTAATACAGATGTCTTTGCAACATCAAAAAATCATTTTCTACTGTCAATTTAAACATCTTTTAACCATAAAATGCAACGAGATCTAACTATCCAAGTGTTCTTTATGAAATATGACAGAATAGTCCCAATACTATGTCACATTTTAAGTAAGGAGTTATGAACTTTAAGGAATATTTATCCCCATTGTATTTCTCTAAATAAAATGAATTTGATTGAAAGTACATTTTATACTTGGAAGACCCATAATAAAGTTAATTATCAGAAAAACTTAATTATCAGAAAAACTAAGCTCAAGCTGTTGGTTAAACTTCTTCATTGGGCTTGAATGCCTCAGCTTAAAATAACAAAGAGTAAATCTGTCCTGATACACAAAATCCCACAGATCTCAGCAGAAGCAGTTTCATTAGTCAGAACACATTTGAGAGTGTGTTACTCTATGACAAATATCCTGTGGATACCACTAAGAAAACTGAGTGTCTGACAATCTTTTCTGTTTTTTCTGAACAATAAAGATACAGAGCAAACAAATTTGACTTGCTCATGCTAACAAATTAGAAAACAACAATCTATTTTTTTCACAAGACATATTATTTAAATCCAGATAATTCAGAATGGCAGAAGTAGAAAATGATATTATAATTATTATTAAACCATCAAACACCACCTTGTGGACTCTAGCAGACAATACAGGTCTGTGGGAGAGATTGTATCCTGTTAGTACAAAAAGCTTTCCTAGTGAATTATAATTATAGGACCTGCAAAATTTGAGAATAATCCTAACAGGCCATAAACACCAAGTCAAGGACAGTCCTCTTTTCCCATCAAAAATTATTAATTGCCCAAACACTAACATATATGTTAGTAATATTGTGCCTGCAAGACACAACATTCATTTGCATGCATACTATTCTCCAATGTTATTAAAATACAAAAAATATCAAAGTAAGCCCTTATAATAAAAAACTAAAAAATAAATTTTGAAAAACTTGTGTTATTAATTTTTACACTGTCATTACAGGAAGTGTAAATTGTCTAACTGGACACAACATTCATTTGCATGCATACTATTCTCCAATGTTATTAAAATACAAAAAATATCAAAGTAAGCCCTTATAATAAAAAACTAAAAAATAAATTTTGAAAAACTTATGTTATTTTTACACTGTCATTACAGGAAGTGTAAATTGTCTAACTGAATTTGTTTTAAACTGTCTAATTGAATTTGTTTTAAAGAAAAGAGTATTCTGCTGCAGAAAATATCACAGAAAGCAAAAGCTAAGCTGTTCATTGAAAAATAAAGTCCAAATGATAAACTGTATCAGCAGCCTATCATGGTGTACACTTGTATAAGTGTTTTAAGAAATGGTAGATTAAGTTTATATTTATAAACATTAAGTTAATAAATGAAATTAAAACAAATATTTTTTTAAATTTAGATTCCAGTATTTTATATAACGACTCTATGGTGTGATCAAAATTCTTAAGCACCCCAAGTCTTCATTATCCCATCTTCAACCTTAAAGACCAGCAATCACTGCCTTCCATATAGCATTTGTCTGCTGAGACTTTTAAAAGCTTTTCAGTTTTGAATTGGAACTTTTTGTGTGAGTTCAGAACACCGCAAAATGTGTTGACGTGTGATGATAAATTACTTTTTGAGACAGAACACACTCTAATGCTTTGTTATGTTAGGATGCAAACTGAAAATAGCCTGGTCGCTGTTTGAGATGCACAGAGAACTGTTTCCCAGGCTGCCTCCATCTCTGGTTTCATAACCAACACAAGAGCTGACACAGTTTAGACAAAAAGAAGCCCCACTAGTCTCTTACCAGTCATAGCCTACTGCAAAAGATGTCTCAATTGCTGGTGCAATGAGTTTAGCAGCTGTCATGATGTATTCCTCTGCCAAGGACTTCCTAAAGGAAAAAAAACCACAAAAACACAACATAAAAATATGAAAGAGATTCTTCACTGTCAGGGTGGTGAGGCACTGGAACAGGCTGCCCAGAGAAGCTGTGGATGTCCCATTCCTGGAAGTGTTCAAGGCCAGGTTGGATGGGGCTCTGAGCAACCTGATCTAGTGGGAGGTGTCCCTGCTCTTGGCAGGGGGGCTGGAACCAGATCATCTCTGAAGCCCCTTCCAAACCAAACCATTCTACATCTGCATACAATTCTATGTCACCATTTCAAAAACATGTATAGAAAAAAAAAAAAACCACAAAAACAAAATGTGTTCTGGCTTCTTCCTGCACTCAGTACAAATCTCAGAAGCCAATGCAATCAGTTCCCTGTTACCACTATTCCCCTGTATCTTGATTAAGCTCTTTGTTTTTTCTGGTTTTCTTTCACTGCACACTAGCTGTATTTTTTAAAAATCTCAAGCCTTGCAAGTTTTAAGCAGTATACCCTGTAACACTTGGGGTAGATACTCTACTTTCGCAGTACACTGAACTGAGTGATCCGACTGGTTCTTCTGAGCATGGTCTTTCCTAAGAATTGGGAGGACACTTTTGTAACAATAGCTGTGAACAGGTGACAAGACTGATAATCCTTCCAGGAGCTAAAATTCAAGGCATCACAGTCAAGAAAGAACAGAGTCCACCATTACCTCTCACGTTCTATTTGACTTAAACTGTCATTTTTAATGGCTTCAATCAGTAGATTCGTATGTAGATCATCCTGGAGGGGGACAAAACAACGGCAAATTATATCAGTATACAAACATTTTATTTACTTTATAGACAATATGACTGCAAACACAAATTGATGTAAAAAAAATAGTCTATAATTTCACTTACTTTCCACATTTGAAAAAGTTAGTTTCAGTTCAAAGTAGTTTTCTAACCATATACTCTGAAATTTGGCATTACAACTACTTCAATACTGTTTTTCTGCTCATGTGTGTTGTCACAGCTCACATTAAGGTTTTTAACAGATATAGTTCATGTCACATACCTCAGACCAGGAAGGGTGAGATCGCAGTGAGAATATTCTGTGCTTAAAAATAAGCATTCACTGAACCACTTATATACACATTAATTTCCATATTTAGTACAGTCCAAGCATTGGGTATCTCTCCCTCTTTCTCCTGATTTACTATATAAAGATACAGTTTATTTTTTTAAAACTTACATTTAATGAAATGTATTTGTCTTCATAATCCACTTCCAAGGGAACTTCGATGAGGTTTTTGAAGGCTTTCTTCATTTGCTCACCATTTCCAATAGCAAAGTAACACAGGATCAGGTTGAAGCCTGCCTTCAGGTTTGGGGATATGTTCATTATTTCTTCAAATGAAGAAATGGCATCAACGTATTGGCCTGTTTTAATAAATGCAACTCCAATATTTTCCATTATTTTTATCCTAAGTAAGAAAACAGATTTAGGTTATATTTTTAACTACTAAATCATACTGTATCCAAAACCTGTATTCCACAACCATGCCTCCTAAAAGAAACTCACCTCATCTGTTTGTGGGAACTAGTGATCTGGTCTAGAGCCATACGGTAGAATTTGATAGCTTTGGAATAGTTCCGTTGTTTTAAATATATATTTCCCATATTTACCTTCAGTATACCTATCAAAAGGAGTCAATGAGTTACAATATTTTAAAAGTGTTTCAAAGTGACAGAGTAGAACAACTTCCTAGTAAATCTGTCTCCGTTATAGAATGCAATATCCCTTTAAAATAGCACTGCACAGAACTGCCTTGTGTGAGTTTAACTCAAGATGAGAGAGAAGATGAAGTAATGATGAAACCTAGAATAGAACTATCACGTAAGATAGTTATTAGTAAGATGTATTCTGATTTTGATTTTGAATTGAGGGATTAAATGGAGATTATTTATAGTGCTTTCCAGGAACACAGATGCAAATCAGCATCTCCAAATAAAAAAACCACTGTCAGAGTCTCAGAGATATGCAAAATACTAAAAGAAGCTTTCAGAAGAGAAAGACCAAGTCAAAAGAGAAAAAAATAGTACTAGCGCAAATCAGCATCTCCGAATAAAAAAACACTGTCGGAGTCTCAGAGATATGCAAAATATAAAAGAAGCTTTCAGAAGAAAAAGACCAAGTCAAAAGAGAAAAAAATAGTACTAGAGAAGACCACATAGCATGTGTGGCATGATAAAATTATGTTTTTGTCTTTATGTTTAGCTTAGTCTGTGGAAAGAAAAGACTTCATGAGTAAGAATAACTTAATGTGGTTTGGCTCTCTGAATCAGAGATTATGAATATCTGTCACCCACTCTGAGTGGCAGACATGAGGGCTCAGTTCTGTGAGTATCAGCACCATGCAGATGCAGTCCTCACTTCAATGCCTGATACCACTTTGGGATACAACCTACCTCCATTGCTGAACATCTTATTCTTCACTATAACTTGGTAAGTAGTCAGTGCTTCAGCATACATTTCGTTAGCAACATACTGACCGGCCAGATTGAGGAGAACCTATAAAAATTGGAATTACAGATTTCAAGTTAATTTTAACTTGGAACTACTGTCTTAACCACTTGTAAGCTTCCCATCTTTAATGTTCCTTTGTTCTTGCAAATTGATATAGATGAAACAAGTTTAAAAGCTCCTTATTCTAGATAATTCTTTTATTTTTGTACATAAATTACTAGCATTCAAAGTTATGCTACATGGCCTTAGACCTAAGTAAACACAGTGCTATAATACAAAGTTATTAAAAAATATTTATACAAGATAATTCTCAGAAACTGTCTGCAATTTATGACTCCCAACATATGCAAAATGGTCCTAATGCCTGTGGTCACTCAGTTTAGAAGGGGAGAATCTTTCCAAACTGCTGTTTCACAACAGAAGTTCTGTTGGTGTCAGGTAAAATAGCTCTGCATTTTTTCCACAGCTTTACTCTGACCTTCATGGTAAAATTAATTACCAGGTCTGCCTAATTCAATATATTAATTGTTAATAATTGTCTCTACAGCACTACTTGGAGTATGAATTAAAATATCTGTCAAGCATTTTTATGCATGTTGTATGCTTTTTTTTAAAAAAAGTTTACTATTTGAAAACCAGAGTGTAAATCTGGATACCTGCCTTAAGATTCAGAAATACTACTATATTCTATTTCATGTAACACATTCTCAGTCACTTTATGGTTCAATTTAAAGGCAGCATCTTATCTTTCCTGTTTTGTTTTCTCCTCTTGGCATATTACACTCTCTAGGCTATTTATTTCTGAAATACAGGGTCTGCATCTGCTATATTTTGATTTGCAGGTTTTATGTGTGAGTAAATATCTAGAATATATATTCATGGAAATTCTTCTCCACTTAACGTGGACTACATGGTTTCTCTGGCATTTGAGATTGCATGGGAATGGACTTGGTGACATGAATGGATCCCCTCTGTACACTGCCAGGAGCATTACAAAACAGACACACACACACTTCAGGAAACACTGACATTTCTGCTCAGGAGGTTTTTTAGTAACATTTCAGTCACTGAAGATTTCTAAGCACTTACTGTGTAAGTGAGGTCTAAGTTGATACTTTCTGGAGGAGCAATTTGTTCACGCTGCCTCAACAATTCTCTTTCCTGTCTTCCAGCTTCCTTTGCTTTCTCCAGAGCCTTGAACAAAATACTAGAATTTAACAGTGCCTTGAATCTTATAGACTCAAGGTGATGAAAACACATTCAAAACAAGTATGAATGGAATATACTCATGTCTATTTTCTTTGCTTTACAGACTGCACCAAATGCCTGAAAAAAGCACTACAACTCACTGAGAGTTTTTAATTAGCCCTAAGCAGACATCCAGTTATCTAAGTCTGCTTAGCTGTGTAATTATGTACCCAATTATAATTCTCTGCAGATTGGTGTCAATATTCTTTGTACAAGTAACACTTTGGGTCTAGCAAGTGCCCTTAGCAGTCCTGTGTGCCTCCACAAGGGTACAATGACTAAGAAAGTAATGGTTACTACTCAAGGTGGCTATTTGGAAGCCAGTGGTAGGTACTTCAAGATATAGTTTGATTCCTAGTCCTTATGATAGGAGGCAAATCCAACTTGGCTATTTTACAGATAATGAGTTCATAACTTTGATGACTTTTTCAGAAAAATTTATATTCTGCTGGACTTGCCAGAAACAAACATCCTATAGGATGTCCTCCCTTGGAGTCATCTGACACAATCTATATAAGAAACAACCCTTCAACATCAAGAGCATTCTTGACCATACATGCAAGAGGCTCAAGAAAAACTAAAAAAATACGTTGGTTAATTAGCCACTATTCAGCGGCACAACAATGCTCTACTATCCTCTATAACAGAACAAATACATTCAAACTGTCTGTTGGAAATAGTTCCTTATCCTTGGCAACCTTTGATCATACACAGGAACTGTCAAATGCTAGCTAGCCTGGGCCAGAGCTGTGCCAGTACAACTAATCCATCAGACCCATCTGAAGAGGTCAATGGACACAGGCAGAAGGGAATTTTTGTAACACTGAAATCTTAACAAATATATATGCCAGAAATACAGCCCCTACTTTTTTCAGCAAAGCAAGGTATCACTAGACTAGAAGAGTCATAATAAATTTAGAACTAAAATTACTTTAATAATTTTAAACATTTGATCATAAGTCATTTTGAAACACCTATCTGTACAAATTACAGCAGAAATGAAGTAAAATTCAGAAAAACTACCAATTTCAAGTCTCCACAGCTATTGGCAACACAGCTTTCTTCAACCAGTTCATTCACTTTTTTTTCCAACTGCCTCATCTTCTCTTCTAAACTAAAATAAAAATAACAACAAAAGGATTAACACTAAAGTTAATGTAACTGCAAACACTCAGCTTTTATGCATTATAGTCTCAATAAAACAACAATATCACAGGTCACAACTAACTGGTTTCCCATCAAAGAAAACACTGTGTGAAACTATGCCTAGAGAAGGTAGTCCAAAGATATCACATTCACACCTTAATTTGAGGAGAGAGACCTAAGAAAACATAAATCCTGTTAAAAGAACAGTACAGACAGGCAGATTTCACAAACCAAATTTTTTCAGGAGAAGTAACTATAAAAATTGTAGTTGATATGAGCTTTCATATCAAACACTAATGAAATGAAATATCACATTAAAAGCAATTAATTGAACCTTTATTTGCATATATAATTCTACAGCACTGCTTGCAAATGCAGATTAAAACAAAAAGTTGTGGTTCTTCTAGACTTTTCCACTACTAAATAACCAAACATTTCAGTAAGATTTCCTATTTCTGTATAGCTTTACATCTGGGGTAAAGAACTTTGGTTGGAAAGTTCAACGATTTCTGAGCAAAATCCCCAACACTGGCACCAGCCTGCAAGTTTCAGCTCAAGTACCAATCTCAGAGTGAACAGGAAGAAAGAGCAGGCAACTTCCCCCAAGTTCTTCCCAAAGAGCTGCAAGAATCATGGTGTTCCTTGCCTTTCATGGTCCTGCACAGCTCTGTGTAAGTATCACAGCATTTGTGTGGCAACAGCTACACCTGGGCTGCTGAGCCAAGTCAGAACCAGAAATCACTGAAATCAGATGCTCCTGAAAGTCAGCCAAACACAAATGTTTGTGGCATTATTCCACTAACTTCAGAGTTTGACCCCTCAAGGTTTTTGTACCTGCCTGGATGTTTTTAAACTCTACACACGGCTGGTTTTCTGTTGCTGTTAATGCTTTGAAAGAATGGAATGCAGAACTAAACAAACCTGTCTGAAGTTTTCTTTTCCAGAGGTGAAGCAGGACCTCTTGCTTGGCCAAGAGGGTCAAATGAAGAACCTGTAAAATTAACAGAGTACTGAAAACTGTAAAATAACATCTCCCTGTGGCAGCTGGTGATTTCTACAAACCATACCTCTCACAGCTGCTTTAGTGTAACCTGCAGCTTGCACTGCTGTCATTGGTCGAGAAACTCCATCCTCAAATAAAGAAGAAGATACATTAAAATAATCTCCCTAAAAATTATGTTGTAGACAATACAGACATAATTATATATTTTATATATAACTTTTATATATTCTATATATATTCTTTTAATGACAAATTGTTAATTCCATGTTAGTAAGTGCCAGAAAATACTATATTGTTATTGCTTCCAAATCAAATAAAACACAGGTCACTACATTCATGCTTTCTGACAGCACTATGTTCAAAAAAGGACAAATTAAAAGTGTAGTAATTTGTATTAATTCAATGAACTTCTAAATACTTGCATCTAACACTTATCAGAAAAATTCGTTGTTCCAAATGAATATAAAATGTAAATATTGGAACTTTTACCTGTATAGTTCCTGTCATAGGTCTTCCCATGGATGAAGTTAAAGTTGTTTTTGACTACAAAAATAAGTTGTTTGAAATTGTCATTCACAAAGCAGAAGAAGCCTACATACAGTCTTCTCAACAGTAAATTTTAAAAGCTGAGCTAACTTTCACAAAAGTTCATAGCAAACTTCCCATTTATGTACCTCATATGCAATAAACTGCCAACTCCTGGCAAACTTAAAGATGCTGAAAACTTCAGTTAGCACAAATTCACAACAAAGGTTTTTTATGCACTTGGATAGTTCCATCAGCTCTTTTAAAAAGAAATACAAAGAAAATTATCTGAGGCAGCATACTTTCTATTATTAAATTATTGAAATTGCTGCTTTGGAATTGAACAAGTAATTTAGACAAAGTACTTCAGTAAAATTCTGTGTAGAGCTGATAAAATCTGTCACTGTATTAATCACCTATGCTGTATTTCCATGCAGATTTATTTTATCAATACATCGAAGAACACAACCAACTTTTTCTGATTCAACTAGAGATGTTTCAGAGCCCACATTCTTCAAGACTTGATTTCACCTTAACTTCCAGAAAACTGTCACAAGCCCAAGTAACAACCTATTCAGTCTCCCCTGCAAGTGAAGCTAATTAATACCCTGGACTCTAATGCCTTATGCAGCACAGAAGATTTGCAGCATGGCTCAGGAGAAAAGAAAAACAACCAGTAACCATGCCTTGACCAAGTGCAAAATTGTGAATTAAAACCAATGAACAGATGCAGTTCACTGGAATGAAAATCTTACTTTAGAAGGGCTCACTTTGTGCATGGAATTAAATAGTAATTTATATTTTGCAAATTACATTTTCATTAAGAATAAAACAGAACAAAAACCTGCCCCAAATCCAGTAGCTAGAGGTCTTGGACTTGATGTACCAGGAATTTTGGCAGTCACCTGGGTGGGAAAAAAAAGAACCAAACAAAAAAACCCTGCCAATTAAAACCTGTATGTGTCAATTATTAGTGTCTACATAGTAAGAGCTACACTAATGCTCAGTGTTTTAAAAGGTACTTACAGGGGGTCTTCTTCCATGACTTGTTTTTGCTGCCTGTTGAAAAGCCACATCATTTTCTAAATCCTAGAAAAGATAAAAACATTAACCCTTTTAAAACCACAATTCACAATTCCACAACCCAAACTCACAATTCCACAACCTTCAGATGACTGAAAGCACATTGGTAAGAAAATCAAAAATTCTTCACAAAATGCTTGAAGATAACTGAACAACAGGGTTTACTGACAATAAATCACTATTATACTATTTGTCTATCTTTTCTGGTATTTTAGATTAGGAAATGTAAAAACTCATTATTTTCTAAAAACACAGAGGAAAGAGCTGACGTCATAAAATATAACATGAATTTCTTTTTCCATCCAAATGCTCTTAGCAAATACTTACACTCTTTTTGAATTTTGATATTAACAACTGCAATGCAAGACATTAAAGCATCTCCTGTCTTTCAGGTCCTGCAGCAACTCCCATGAATTGGGTACTGGGATTTCACACAAGATGCTAAGTCTTGCTAGTGGGTTTGGACCAAATGACATCACTGGAGTGTCCCAACTCCACCAAACCAGCAGTTATCCAAAAGTGGTCTGTAGGGCTACTTTAAGACAGTCCAGATGCTCTACCCCGTTGCACAGAGACCTGCAAGATTCCATTTTACTCTGAGCTCCTCCAGCAGCAGCACAGTAGGAAACCAATGACCTACTGACCACTCTGGAGCCTCTTTTGTCAGAAAACTTGCTGCTGCACACAGCATGGGAAAACACCACACTGAATGTGCCTACAAAAAATTATAATTTTATACTTCAAAAATGCTAACCATTACAGCATCTTAGATGTGTTGAGATCTTCACAAGTGCTTAGCTGGAATAGCAAGCTACCAAAGAATTAGCTATTCAAGAAGATCACCAAGAAACTTCAGATGTTTCCTGCTAAATAAAGTAAATTTCACTTCAAAGCAGTTGTAAACTTGTATATTATTGTACTCATAAGTTCTTATCTTATGCTTCTAATTTAAAATTCTATGTATGGGAAAGGTGGGAAACAGCAAATATTTTACCTCTGTGTCAAACATGGGATTATAATCATTGAAGCCAGAATAGAGATCATCTTCATTACTCTCAGGAGCCAGCTGCACATTCTGCATCATTTTTCTGTGAAACATTTAACATGCCAAATGTTATCTCAGTGGTTTTATATAAATATTTTAAAATGCAAAATATAAACAGTAATAGTTTGATTAGTCATGAAAACTAGGATTCGTCTATAAACAATATTAAATTGCACCATTTCATGGATTTATATTTTTTACACTTATACCAGTTATGAAAATTGTTTTAAAGGTATTTATCATTAAAACTAAATGATAGTAACAAGTAATTGCATTATTACTTCTGGAACGGTATCTGTCCACTGTCAGCTAACTCATGTTTGAGACAACTCATATTCTAAAGTCAGTCTTTATAGGCCAAACCATAGTAGTTAGTCTGATGAAAAGTATTTAATCTTGCTTTGAACCTTCCCTTCCGCCTTCTGAGATCAACATAGCTACAGTTATGAAGCCATTTCAATTGAAACGGGTTTTAAAAGCTAGCATTAAAGAAGCCCGGGTTCCAAGTCTTCCTCCACCAGTATTTCCCTGTCTAATACGGTGCGTTCCCCTGGTGGCCTTTCGCTCACGGAGGGCACACACTGAGGTGTCTCACTTTGCCTGGCGACCTGTTTTCATAAAAACCTCGAGAAGGCAACGTTTGCTTTCATCGATAACATGAAGTACATGCCCTTCAGCAAGCAAGCCTCAGCCAGCACGAAGCGCACGGTTCCTGTGCAGCGGCAGGATGAGGAGGATGTTCCCCGTCGCTTCCCCGCCGTGCGCGCTGCCCCGCGGCCGAGCCGCTCCCGGCGCGGGTTCCTCCAGCGGGGACCCGGCGATGAGCCCCGCAGCGGGGGCGGCTCCGGGCACGGGCGGGACGCGCCCTCGGCTCGCGGAGCCGCGGCCGTGAGGGGCGGGCTGGGCCTCGGCCCTCGGGGAAAGGGAGTGCCGCCCCTCGCTCCTGCCGAGTAAACGGCAGGAAAAGTCCGAGCTCCTGAGCACGTGCTTGATTTCCAATCCAGTCGCAATCGGAAACGCCAGCTTTTCATCCAGTGAGCTGAGAAATGTGCTCTTAAAAGTGAAAGGCTCAATAAAAAAATAAAAGGAAGTTGTTAAAGTTGTTAAAGCGTTCCTGTTTGCCACGGCCTAAATTTAAAAAAATTAAAACCCCTAATGTCTTATAAAAAGATTATTCTCCCTGCCATCTCTACGACTTTCTCTTGGTATTTTGGAAACCCTGACAAGTGTCAGTTGTTTTACCCACAGCAAATCATTTTACTCTGGAGAAAGTTTCCTATGTCTAAATGGAGAACAGAATAGAGAAGGGATCTCTGAACATGCCTGCAGTGGTTTTGAGAGGGAAAACATTTTATAAGGCCAATTGTAACCCCTATGGCCTTATGCCAATAGCATAAGAAAGCTGCAAAGACAATATACAGTACAGTCAGAACACCCTTTTTACGGTCAGGGATTGTGCACATTATGCAATGTCAGGGTCTTCTGCTGCTCACCTTTCAGCCTCAAAGTCCTTTCTGAAGAGATAAGTGCAGAGAATGAGTGAAAGGTCTTTCTACTCTGGCTCCCAACAAGAGAAATAAAGATAACATAAAGAATTATTAAGACATTATCACTTCTTGCAACTGTACTTAACCTGTTCACATTCCATGCATGAACCACTTTCACCCAGAAACTTGAGACTTGTGACCTTTGCACATGAGAATCTTTATACCTGAATTTTCTGGAGTACAAGTGGTTTACAGAGTAACAGACTTAGGCTGGGAAAAGTTTTCAGCTGCATTACTTGCCACAAATCATAAACTTCAGCATAAGAAAAAGATATACATTTATAGCCCCTATTTTCCTGCCTGTGATTCCTCATATATAATTGAACTATGGTTTTTAGATTTTTCTCATTGTCCCCAGATGCATTAATATGTACCTGAGCAATAGGTAGATTGTGTGGTAATAGACCTAGCTCTGCTATCCAGCTTGTCCATGTTGGGTACCTGGGCATACTGGTGCCCAGCACTATGCTGATGTTTCAGCCCAAATTTCTAGGGCAGTGAAAAGAAGGCACTGTGTCAAGGAGGCAGTGCATCTAATTTGTAAATGAGGTGGTGCCAAGGCAACCCTGGAATCTGACCATGTTCCTATTGTCAAACTTCCTTACCCTCCAAAACTGGGTGTATACACTCTGACTGAAGTGGCCCCTGGCCTGTATGGACTCTGACCACACTGGGAGCATGCCCTGGCCCAGGTCCTGAGACCTTGCATTCCAGCTGATACTTCTGACATACAAGATTATGAGAGTCTCAATGACTTTGTTCATGTTTTAAAAAGCTGTGTCAATCGACAGGGTTGTTTTATCGGGTTTTTTCTGGTGGTATGAAGTATAAATACATCTTAATACATTAAGATTTCACACAAGCCCTCAAAATCTCAGGGTCCTTCGTGGCAACACAGGGCCTTACTCATGGGTTGTGATCATAAGACATCGTCTAACAAGATGATGCTACAGTAAGAAAGCCTGTAATGGTGTAAGATGATGTAATTGTCTTTATTGGCTAAATCCGGGCGACCTAGAAAGTGAAATTGCCAAAAAAAAAATCTAGTCTAAGTAGCATTGTATGCTTTAAATTCCTGATCATTTTAAGTTGGATTAAACCACGACTGTCACTAAATGCCCCACGTCAGTCCTCTGACTGGCATCAAGTTACATACTTTTGCAGCTAAAGCAAACTGCTAATCTGATGAGGTTTTCCTTCAGTCATTATTCAAGACATCAAGTACCTGATCCAGTGAATTCTGTGAAAATTTAGGACAGATTAAAGAAACCATGAAGCTATATTCTTAAATAGGAATTCTTTACCTTTCAATACATGGTGTATCTGTCTTTTTCCAGCAGTAACTTTGCAAATAAGGACTCAGACAAACTCTTCCAGGACCTGCTAATTTGGGTTCAGGGGTTACTGGCCACAGTCTGCCTGTTATAATTGCTGTTAGTGTGTACCTTTTATAATTGCTGTTAGTTTGTACCTTACCCTTGCTCTGCCAGTTGAACTGTTCATCTGATCAAGCACTGATCGGTGTTTTTGTGAATTGAAAATATAATTCTCCCACTGTAATCTTTAAATAAGCAATTTTCTAGTACTGAATTCTGGACTGACCATGTCTTCGGGATTTTCTGCTGTCATGCAGAAACCATTCAAGCAGCTTGACTGTCACAAACAGTGAAGCTGCATTTAACTGCTCCTCAGGGAACTAATGCATCTAGTCAGCATACAATTTGAAAACAAAATAAACCTCATTATGAATGATACATATGTTACAAATAATGTATATAGAACTGTAGACTATGTGAATTGGAAGGGATCCACAAGAACCATCAAAGTCCAGTTTCTGGCCCTGCACAGGACAACCCAAGGATCACATCATGTGCCCTTCTTTGTTGTACTATATGTTGTAGTTTGGGTTTAAAATGCATTTGCAACGGGAAAATCATCTTCTTAACAGGTATCTTTGCTATTGAACTATATAATTCTATCTAGTTTTGCTGAATTGTGCTTTAGTAGTATCTACTTTACTACTGTTTATTTTTTATGCCTTCAGATTGCCTCTTTAAGAATCAGCATTTTGACAATATTGGTCGTATTTGCATCAGGCCATCTGCACTTTGAAAGATCACCCAAATTAACAGCACAAACTACGAACAATAATTAAAATGATAGTTTTAATTTTAACATCATTTTAATACAACCACTAGCGATAACACTGTGCAAACCATTAGTTAGAATTCTACAGAACAGCAATGAAGTTATTAATTAAAGCTATCTTTTTAAGTCATTATACTTCATGAACCATTAGGAATGTAGTAGCAACAGATCATAGTCCATTACCAAATAAATGTACTTGCTGGTTGCTCTAGTGAACAAGTGATATATTAAACAGATCTAATACTTAACAAATGTGAACTATGCCTCTGTTTTTATTCCACACTAAAAGCTTAGGCTAGCAGTCTTTGTCTTTTAAAAGCATACCATTCCTTTCTTTTCTCCAAGGGGGAATTCACATCTTCTTCATATTACACATCCCCAAGGCTCAGAGTTAGTGAGAGTTATTTCCCCTTGCTTATTACATGACCCTTTTATATCACCCTGCTTCTCCCCTGCAGTAAATCCACCCTTCCGTGGCCAGTAGCAGATTTCAGTTCTGCCCGTGGGGCAGCAGAGGAGCACGCTCCATAGAATAAGACTAAAAACAGAGGGATCAACTGTGCAGCTCCCAACACAACTCAAATCTGCCTCTACACCTATTTGACTTTGAAGAAAGAATACATACGCTGGTGAGTGCATGCCTGCTGCCAGTACAAGCCCTACTTTTCATTCCCTAATGGAGCCCAAGTCCTTTCACCGTGTTATTGGTTGGTTATGGTTTTTGATGTTTTTGCGCTTACAGCACCTTCTGTCCTTTCCATGTGAATTGCAATAGACAGAGGAGAATCACTGTCCCTAACTTGTGGAGGCTGCAAGAACTGGGCCTAAAACTCTCCTGCTATTACACAAAAATTAAACGTGTACTTTGTTTTTAAGTCATATTTTCTTCCCTTGACTTACACTTCTGAGAATTTAATTATCTGGTTTTTGTTTTCTTCTTGCAAACTTCTCTTTCCTCTTTTGATCTAGTTTCGACTTACCAGGGTGTCTGATCACTGCAGATCCTGGGGGATATGGCTGCAGTCATACCCCAATTTTGATTACATAATGCAGAGCTATGGGGCTTGGTCACTAATATATTAATAATAATAATAATAAATAATAAAAAAATAATAATAATAACAACAACAACAACAACAACAACAACAATAATATATTTCAGATTTCATTGCCATAGACTTTTTTTGTTCATCCCCAGAACTAAAAGGTACTGTAATTGTTTTTATCACAGCTATTATTAGCTCTGAAACCCTTGCAGTAACACTCTGAACAGAGCTTTTAATTCTCTGAATCCACCTGTAGATCTGCAGTGGCTTTTGTCTCTTAGTCTGTTGCTGATCACAAGTAAGGTATAAATACATGTCTCAGCATGTCAAAGAGTATTAAAATAGCTGATGAGTACTTCTAAGTGGAAGTGATAGTAAAGTTGTTCTGAAGACCATTTTTCTCAAGCCCAGGTGACATTACTTTTATGTTCTAGGAACTTACCATTTTTTCTTTGAAGTAAAAACCTGAGTTCACAAAGTAAGTATGCATTGTTTGCTTCAGTTATGCTCTGTCTATACAAAGGTCTTTGTGTTTAGAACATTTGCCAAGTCATGCCATTTTGAATTAGTCTTCAAAGGAGCAAAATTGGTACTTGCTAAGACCTTAAAATGGTTTTCTACACCAGCCTACATAACCCCTGAGCAGCAGAACTGGCACAGCATGCTACACTCTTCTGTCCCACTGCCTTAAATGTTCCCATGGCCCAGTTTACTGCCACTTTGCTTCCCAGCTACTGGCATATCTCAGGTTACATGGGTGGTGTTAAGGTCAGGAAGCCAAGGAGATAATAGTTTGGTTTTCCACCTGCTATCTGTTGAGCGGTCTGTATTAAGCCTTTAGGAATATACAATTTTGACTTCTCCATCTCGTTGTTGAATGTGATTGGAATTAACAAAGTGCCACTGAGTGGGCAGATGTACCAAATTATTATGTTAAGCCTTATTTATTTTTCTTGGAAAGCAGAAGAAATGATAAGCTGAACAAACTTTCAAATGATAATCAAACAAAGGTTCACCGAACTTCATCAGTAACTATCAAGCCTTTCTTCTGGGATCGAATGTATTACTTTTCGACTGTCTGGCTTTTTAACAGAAAGCAAGAAAAACCTATTTATTGGATACATTAAGAGTACATTAATAT